GGGTGGTGGCTGTACCCCGTCGCAATTCCCCATATCTACCCGACCGACGCTTTCTCACGGGCTTTCTTTCCGACCACATCATTGCTATCATGCCCATCGTCGTTCCCAATGTCGTTCCCAAACGTCCCAGCAGGCCCTGCTCCCCAATCACTCTTCCTCTTCTCTCGTGTGGTATATTGACTCATTTCTGATGTACGCGGCGCGGAGAGGCTCGTCGACCGACACGCGTTCATCATCCTACTTGATGTCGGGCTGTCAGTAATCCGGAGACAGATCGGGATCTGGTGAGTAAACTCCTTTCTCCCCGTGCGCTGCGAGGCCTCTCAGTCATACAATCCTCCTAGATCATTTGAGCAGGCGGGGCAAGGAGGGCGGTTTCGGACTATACAACTCGTGGCAGTATAGAAGTATTCCATTCGTGGTAACGAATCGCGATTCCCTATTTAATCGTAATCAGCGCCACCTGCGTCTCTCCCTTTCGCCTTCATCATCTCAGTCGTAGACTTAGCCGTCTGTCTATCCCAAACATGAAACGCATTGCATCTAAGACTGAAAGCTCGCGACGCGTGACAAGACGTCGAATAAACGACTTCATCGACGATGTCGCCATTGAAGCAGAAGAGGACGAAGAGGGCGAAGAGGACGAAGAGGGCGAAGAGGGCGAAGAGGGCGAAGAGGGCGAAGAGGGCGAAGAGGGCGATGAGGGCGATGAAGGTACGTTCTTATGTTGTCATACCTAACGTATTTGTTGACGCGGTCATATCAGAGTCCTATGTCGACCGAGCCTCGGCCAGCGAGAGGATAACAAACCGATATACTACACCGTCGGCAACTAGTATACATGGTCCTTCACCGCTCAATCAATGGCACTCGTTGGTCACCGGTATTGAGGCTCGCGTATCCGAACTCTCTCCCTTGAAGGACCCACAAGCTTGGGGGTTGGTCCGAGGATACGCTCGAGGGGAACTCAGCTTTGTCGAAGTGACGGAAGGCCTCCAGGCGCACCTTCGAGGCCGATATGCAGAAGAGGACTGGGTCCCCGCCTTTAATGTCGTTTGGGAGGCAGAGGACGACGAAGAGCTTGCTTTACAGCGGTTGCGAGAGCTCGAACAAGCCTACCTCGCTCAGGCCGACAATGTTCCCACTTCCCATCGCCCGACGCAAGATCACCAATCGTCACTAGAGATACCTCTTCAGGCATCGACTCGTCAAGTATCAGAAGCCTTGGAAGCTACGCTGATGGCAGAGTTCAACAGTATGACCTCGCCGAATTTACTATGGAGAGTTCGCATACAAGGTAAATGCGTGATATATACTGCGCTTGTATCCAATTTACTCATATATCTCAGCGGATTCGAGGAGATATCTGCACGCTCTATTAACGACTCAGGGAAAGGCAGCGTATGTGTATAATGGTTTGCCGAACTTTATCTTCATCGAGGCACCAAGCAAAGAGGCGGCCGCGGACAGCTTTCCACTGTCACATCGTCCATCCACTGGAGTAATCCAATCTGTTGATAGGACAGAGAGCCTTTCCGCCGCTGCCGTTTCTTCACCGATGACTTGGGTTCGGCCTCGATATGGCCCTTACGCGGAGAATCTTGGGTTCGTATGTCCTAAACCACGCGGATCTCGGGAAGCGGGCGGGGACGAAGAGGAACAAGACACTGACCGAGTTTTTGTGCTATTCGTGCCCAAAGCCCAACCGTCTTCTGGCTCCTCCAACTCTCGCAGACCTCCGAGGCTCATCATTCGCCGCGAGTTTGTTCCTTCTCTCCTTCCTCTCGCTTCTGCCAAAGAAAGGTTTCATGGGTTGGTACGGGAGCTACCTGACGGACGCTTCACGTTGGCCCAGCATACGTTCACCTCTGAGGGCTTCGCTGTCATCGACTTCCATCAAAGAGACCTTGTTCCCGCTTCGGATATTATACCTGAAGATATTACAGCGTTCACTGAATGCTCGCTCTGTCCGTTTGCCATCTCTGCTGAACGTGATCGCTTCGCAGTCAGCAACTACATCTATGGTGATCGCGTAATCGCAAGCCTGGGGGATAGCGGTCCGGAAGTCTCTGGCTACGTCCTCGGCACGGAGGGGTCTACCGTGCAAGTTCGCGTTGTCCACAACTCTCAGCCCATCACTACGACGCTTCTAGCGTCTCAAGTGCAGCGCATTTTTTGGGAAGGGGACAACGTACGCGTTGTCGCGGGTATTCATAGGGGTACCCGAGGGACGGTCTTGACGGAGGCAGAAGGAAACTTGGTGTTCACCACGGGTCGCTCTCATTCTCAGGTATTTAGCTTAGTGCCCCGCTTTGTAGCTTTACTAACCTCGTGTAGCTTACAGTCCCAAAGCAATATGTCGAGACCGACAACGAAATCGTCAGCGGGCCCTCCGGCGCCCAATCTCAATTCCGCGAAGGTGATTATGTTAAGTCGTTATCGTTGCAGCGCTGGGGGAAAGTCCTCTCGATCCAAGCAGACATAGTATGTTTCTCGGAGCTACGTGCCGTTGAACTTAGCGAGGACGGCATCGGACGTCTGCAGCTACTGCAGAAATTCGTCAAGGTGTGATTTTATTTTAATATGATGGGTTGGAATTTTTCTAAGTCTGGACTGCGTCCATTAGTTGCACGACTCTGTCCATAACGTCGGACTACTAGCTTCAAAAAGCTCTGACCCACTCCACGTTGCTGCTGTCGCTCGTACCTTTCAACAAACAAGCGTTGGTAGGCGAAGTTCTGCGCCATTCTACACCGGCAAGGACCCGCTTGAGGGGGAGAACATTGTCGTCGTCTCTCGTCGCGCTGGTTCGAAAGGACTTGTAGGCCAGGTCACCAGTACGAATCCGCACCGCCAAGAAGCCACCTGTCGTCTGACGGCTTTGGGAAGACTCGAGACGCTCCCCTTCAGTACTCTGGTATCCTTGTAAGTAGCCCATGATTATCATTGCCGCCAAGCTGACCCCAAAGCAGGAGAAACGGGTTATACTTGACTGGCACTCCAATACCCGATCACAAAAGGGGATGGTTTCAGGCCGAACGAAGAGCATTCTACGGCTTGCCCGCCGTGGGGGATCCGCTTCCCAGATCTGTCACACCTCCGCAAGATGTAGAAATCCCACTGACAGACTTCGAAAAGGCCGATATTGAGACACGGGCGCTCGCGCTCGCACAATCCGCACTTGCCCAATCCTCACAACACGAGGATGTACAACGACCTTCTTCGCCCCTCCCGTTCCTTCTTGACGACAGAATTTGCGCTAACCTCGGGAGTAGGGGAGTCCATGTTGGGTTTCTACCTTCGTACGAGGGTGGGAGTCAGGTCAAGGTGTCAGGCTTCACGGATAGCCCAGATCGGTTTTGGAGCAATAAACTGAGCTGTCCTGCTCCTGACGGCTGTGTCGCCGTATCATGGAAGGTGAACGGCACTAAACCACGATCTGCCTTCGTCCCCGCCTCGGACTTGAAGCCGTGCCCCCCTCGCGCGAAAAACAAGTACATTTTGGTGCTTAGTGGTCCGTACGTCGGTCAAATCTTCCTCACAAAGGGTTACAAGAAGGCGAATGATGTCTATGTCGTACATGAACATCGGGACGAGATTCCGAACGGTATAGTCACCGAGGTTAGAGAGCATGGATCTAATTAGCAGCGGACTACAATTTACTTTTGATGTGCTTTCTCAATGTATCATTCAAATTTGCACGTATATTACACGACTCAGCTCTTCTGTTCCTGCTAGAACCCACCATTAACCGTCAACAGTGGAGCAGCGGAAGAACAGGGGTGGTGGAGCTCCATTCTATACATCAGACGTTGGGAACGAAGAAGCAGGGCAGAGGGTACACGTTGAACGAGAAGTTTTAGCGAGGTAAGGGAAATAGAGACGATGTGCTTGGATAGTAGCACGTCGGTCGATCGAAGAAGGTGAGGGGTCGGGGCGCGGAGAAGCGCAGACGCTCGTTGTGGCGCGAAGAAGTGATAGAAGTTGGTGAGCTGACCAGACTCGCGTCCCATATCACTCACCGCGCATTGGTGTCACCCTTCGCCTCACACTTGTGTATAAAGGTGCGTACTTCATGCTCCCGCCTCGTCCTCAGGTCTCCCGCCGCCTTATCTTTAGGTTTTTCTTCATCATGCCCAAGGCGTCACGCACTACCCTCTCTCGTTCGCGACCTCATCCGTACACCAAGACCGATGGCACAACCAAGAAGCCTACACCCAGGTCAAAGGAGCCTCTCCGCACTTCCTCAGGGAACCTGATCTTTAATGCTCGTCTTGGAGGTGGACCTCAGTTCTTTGGGCTCTTTGTCGTCCTGGTGCGCATTCATTTGCTCTGATTGTGTACGCGTGAATTGACCCGAATGAATAGCTTGGAATTCTGAAAGGAATTCGGCGCTGTCTCGAGTGTCGAGTCCTGGACCTCCCAGAATGTGTATGGGAACGCGGGCATGGGTCTTCCTGTGACCATTGCAGGTCGAAAGGCTGCTTGTGTAGCCTCTCAGGGAATCTACACAATGTATACTATCTCAACGACATTCTGAAGTTCCTCGGGTTGCCAGGCGCGAAATCGGACCGCGAGATATACAGGCTTTACCGTGCACGACGCAACTCCAAGAAGGCACCAGCATCAGTCAGCAACAAACTGGGCGAACACCCATTCGACGACAACGATCCTTGTAAGTATTTACCTCCTATCTCTTACTTGTGCTCATCGTATCATAGTGATCGCGGCGCTGGTCTCACACAATCGTCCAAGTAGCAGGAGAGTTCTCTTACCTGAAAGTAAGTCGTTCCCACCTGGAATTTCTTACTTACAGCGATTCTTGCAGCCCTCGCGGAATTGAAAAACCCCAACCTGCCTCTCTACATTCCGTCAGCGGGGACGTCAGCGGGGACGTCAGCGGGGACGTCTGCGGAGACGTCAGCAGAGCCGTCGACGGGGACGTCAGCGGGGAAGTCAGCGGGAACGTGTGCAGAGCCGTCGACGGGGACATCAGCGGGGCCATCGGTAGGACCATCGGCGGGGACGTCAGCAGGACCGTCAGCAGGGCCGCCAGTGACAGTGTTGTCAGAGGCGCCAGATGCGTCAGAGGCGTCGAGCGAAGTGGACGAACGTAAGTAATCATGATCTGTATCGTCCAATTTAACGCCTTCATCATTCCTCGACAGTTGCAGACGATCCTGATGCTGCGACCATGCCCGATGCTGCGACCATGTCGAACACCTGACACAGCGAACCCACAGCCGCTTCCTCATACCGTCGGAAGGTTAGCATCGGTGTCCAGGGATGAATGGATTAGAAGTTACAGATACAATGTACATTAGGTTTGTCGTGTATATACAAATCGTCAGGAAACGAACTATATCGTGTTCGGTTTAATCACTGTCGGAGCAGTCGGAGCACATAACCTACGCCTACCCCAGCGTTCTCCTACGTGCACAGGGATCGTTCTCATCACGAACTCCCTCAGCGTACCTTTGGCTTCGAGCCAGAGGCGTCGTGGGTCCATACGTGTGCTCCCCAGATAGGCGTGTGGGAGATGTCTGGGGCGGTCCCCCCAGCAGCTCTCTTCATCTGAGTCGGCTTTAGTTTCTGTGAGATTAGCCGTCTCTTTGCCCTTCGGGTTCGCGTTTCCCTTCGGATCCCTGTCCGGTCGCTGATCTTCTTTTCCTCCCCCAGGTGCCCAGCACTCAGCCTTGTAGTGGCCTCTCTTGCCACAGTTGTGACATACCCCTTTGCGCAACCTTTTCCCCTCATCTTGCGCTATTTATCCGCCGAGCCTCGCTTCATACATCAAACACTTATTGCATTCTTCACGAACATTTTCTTTGATTCCCTACGTTGTACGATTTCTCCATAGTCCTACTTTGCACGCCACGACGCCAGCCCAGATTTCAAGTGAGAGGGTAATACAATTGTCGTTAGAATAATGCTAGTAGCAGCGGTATCTGTCACTATGTATCTACAGTAATCCAAGAGAATGAAAACATGATTCACAAAACAAGACAAAAGAATGAAACTCTACAAAGCCAATCACATCTACATGCAGCTCCCAATTACGAACGATACATTGGCCTATATTCGCTCAATATACTTGGGCCCCCGGATCAACCGGCGGAGCACGCCGGCTGTAGACGTTACGGGCGCAATGATACCTGAGAATCTGGCCTGATTACACTAACTTTTCGTTCCGGTACCTTTAGAAATCCTAAATCGCAGCGTAAGAACTACATCAAAAGCATACCGGGAATACGCACCTTTGAGAGAGCTTTGAGAACAACCCTACTATTCAGCCATCGCTTGCTGATAGCATGGCATAGCGACGTCGTCGCCGGAACTACCGTGGCGAGCTGGGCATGTTCCTCTTTCCAGAGAGACGCCCCAAAATCAGCGTAGTGGCGAAAGGGGTCTTTCTCGCCTTCATTAAGAGGCAGAAACTGCCGTACAATGAAAAAGAGGTGTTCATACGGGCTGCAGAGACAGCCGTCACTCCGAATGGATATCATCTCTTCGATCACAGCAGGCACGTCGGTAGTAGAGTTGACCCTAAAGAAAATCTGGCTGTTTGGACGCGACGAACTCGCAGTTGCGAAGTTTACTCCATTTAGAGAATGCCGACGGTGCGAAAGAACCCTTTCGGGGAGATTCTTGAGGTGGGGTGGTAGATCGAGGTACGCATCAGCAGCGGCCCATGCTTGCTTCAATAAAACGGACGGCGTAATGTAAGTTCCGGCAGATATGGTGTTCTGGTGACCTCTAAGATCCTCGCCTGTCATGATTGTCTTGATATCCGTCATTAACGTGCCACCCTGATAGAGACTCCAGCACTGCTCCAGTATCGGAGTACATTGCTGGAGGAGCGCTGGGCAGCACGGCTGCTGAAGGAACGCTTTGGCGTTCGACGCTGTACAAAAAGTCTCGAGCATAGTTCTCTCGAGCATTCCTAGTTTTGTCGTCAGAATCGCACACCAGAAACAAGACTGATATGCGTACCGAGCTTGTGGTTTGTATTAACTTGTTCGAGGATGCCTATCAAACGCTCGAAAGGGAACATCCACCAGCCATGCATAGGCCCATATCGGAGCAAGAACTCGCCGATGTGAAGAGAGACATGATGATTAGGCCGCCAAGGGAGGTGTGGATAGACTTGCGCTATAGTTCGTAGATATTCCTGCATGTACCGGAGGTAGTTTTCGGCATGACAGACCGTCGTTCGGTGGGATGTTGCGTATCGTACAGCAATCGACAGGAGAAAAGTAGCATGCAGAAGTAACTCTCTTTCGGCCGTGTGCGTGTCAGAGGGTGCTGTCGTCCAAGTCCACATTAGAGCTACAGGTATATCGAATTCAAGACACGCCCTCCACTGGTCAGCCTTGAGTTTGCCGTGCTCGGAGCGACCAATATTCTTTGGTGGGCCCCGGCGCCAAGACGGCGCGACTACATCTGCTACAACAGAGCGTATAGATGCGAACTCCGCCTTGGTCAAACCTAATATATGATGGGTAGGATTATCCGTGTGGTGACGGTCGTTGTTGGCGCTTGAGTATTCGTCGACAAGATCTTCCCCGATTATGTCATCTATCGGCGTATGCTGCTCTACCTCCAGTAGTGCAGGGCTCATTCGTGCATCTGAGTTCTATCCATGTTCGTCGACGTGAGCTATGAATCGATATGCAAGAGACGATGTGCGACTTACATTTATCGGTGTATGGTGCTCTTCCAATAGCAAGGAGGCCGATTTTGTACCCGAGTTCTGTTCGAGTTCATTATCGTGAGTCGAACAGCTATAATCAAGAGGCGAGACACTTACGAGCAACGCAGTAATATACATTTTCTTGGTAATTTTGTCGGATTTATCAAGGGTTACGGACCTCTCGTCGGCCAACACAGCGAGCTCGTGCAGCCGTAACCTGTTCAGACAAGAATACGTCGGAGCATCGTCAAGAACCGTCCTACATTTCTGTAGTCGCTCCTCATCGATAGGCGCGGGCGCGGGGGTGGGCTGTGAGGCGGCGTTTTTCTCCTTGGGAGGCCTCTCGTCGAGTCCAATGATGTCTCGAAAGTGATACTGAACTACGCCTAGAAATAAGTTGTGCATACCATCAACGACCATATTTTTCGTCGGGTCCCAGTAAGGTAGCCGCATTAGCTCGCTCCACCGTATACCGTGTTTTTCGAAGATCCGATGGCGAGCTGCCTTGGTGGGTGCGTCTCGCCACGCCTCCGCAGCCTGCATGTGTGCCTCTCGCGTGCGCCAGTGCCACTTACTAAAATCAAAGTTACCGAGGTCGTATTTGTCGATCCAGCAGATTGCGCAGGCATGACGCCCTGCTATACCGGAAGACCCTCCCACTTTTCTGCTAGCAGGCAAGTCGTGAACCCCAACGGCGATGGCAGACCGCGCCAATCGCCCATTCGGGTGGTTCTGTGTCGCCGAATACCAAGTGCCAGACTGCCAAGCGGGCAACATGAAGTCGATCACGGGCCTGAGGAAGTGGTTCATCTCGTCGACGCGCGTTTCGTGGGGACCAGGGATGATACCGGCCAGGTACATGTTCTCGGGCTTGTATCGTAGGCTCGGTGGAAGATTGAGGAGAGCTAGGGCTATTGTGCCAACAGAGGCGGTTTTGCCGGAAATTTTGTTTGTGTATGGATTAAACCAGTCGATAGAAAGGCTCCAAGCTAGACGAAGTTCAGGGCGTTTGAGGCCATCCAAAAACGGTTTGCCGTCGGGGCCAGCAATTTCACCGAGGCCCGTCCCTTGCTTGATATCACGGAGCTCGTGTTCGAGGTTAATCACAGTCCCTCGGTCCAGAAGTTCCTCCATTCCAGCTCGACTCAATAGATTACCGACGAAGTCGTTGAAATCGTTGACAAAAAATGGACGAATAGGATGGTCGACTGCAGCTTTTTCGCCATGAGGAAGTTTGCGGAGCAAAGATGCTCCACAAGGGCGCCCTCCTCGCCGTCGAACGAACTGACAGGTTCGAGGGAAGCGCTGAGCATTATTGTCAATGGGCGGATGCGTGTAAGAACAATTGGGGCACGCGGCATACTGGTAAAGTCGCGGCTGAAGATTAAAGTGGGAATGGACAGTACGGATATCCTTAGGTAGGGATTCTAGAACTAGACGTTCACGTTGACTTAACGTGCGGGGGGACTGGCCTGCAAACGGGTTCGTAAAGGAAGTCTGAACGAGGAGACGTAGAAAGGATAGCGTCGTGTTGCACCATGCTCGGGTGGTGTGGCCAAAGAGGTTAAGGACGACGACCAAGAACATGGAGAGGAGGACAAGAGGGTTGGCCCCGGGAAGTTTGCCCGCATACCATTGAGCTGCAAGCAAATCAGATAACCGTGCTTCGATAAAGGCACTTCCCTAATTTCAAGCGCACGCACCAGTATCAATGCTCACGCTTGGTGGTATAGCTACTGTAGAACGTGCAGCTAGAACGTTGCGGTAGCTGCGAAGAGATTCGATATATTCATTAGTCTCATCTACAATAGCGCATCGCAAGGTGTCAGTCGAGGGGTCGTTCGATGGAAGGATGAGGAGATGGGACTGTAACAGCGCCAGCGCCCACTGCTCATCGTCATGAAGATGGCTGAGAGCACCTCGAGAAACAGTTTCATCGCTGAGATTTTCAAGCACGGTCTTCGTGGTAGACAGTTTCTGGAAAAGTTCGTGATCGATGCGAAACAGGTGGGCGTAGCTATCCGATGTGTTACTGGGATATTGACTGGATCCTGAAAGCGACGCCTGAGGAAGGCTCCTGGTTCCTTCAAGGACGAGGTTGCGGATACCGTCGACAAGAGAGGGCGACACTCCTCGTGCTTCGGCCTGGGGTAGACTTCCGGTTCCTTCAAGGACGAGGTTGCGGATACCTTCAACGAGGGAATCAGCGTCGGAAGCAGAGTCGTGGAGACTAGCGGTGTCCTCAGATATGCTGTCATCATCTGATGTGGAACTCTCGGGCGCTGGGGTATTAGCAAAGCTGCGGGAGCGCATTGTAAAGGTTGGTGCCGAGTATTGGAGGGGAGTATGGGGTGGATTTTATCCATAGCAGAAACAAGGAGGCTGCCATGCCTGTGAGTACGAAGGAGACATTTGCGATACAAGACGAACCTAATGCAAACCTCCTCGGCATTGCAAGAACTCCTGTACGAAGAGACGTGCTACGACGGTGAGATGCGTCAAAGACAAAAAAAAACACAAGACGAACCCTAATGTGACCAATAATTCGGTTGGCAGCACAACGGCTATTGCAACTTTGTATTCTTAATGGCAGCGGCTTTGTACTACCAATGCTGTGCCTTGCATCGTAATAGAACATGATGCACCAGCTAGGAAAACAAGGCAGACGCGAGGCACACCACCCGCTACAGCTGCGCAACGGATCCGGTAGGCGTCGCTACTGTGACGTGCTACTTGCCGTAGCAGTCGTAATATTACAGTGGTGTTCGCGAGTGATCTTTGCTCATGCATGACCGCTAAATATACACAGGCGTGCTTTTCTTTCGATAAAACTATGTAAGGATACATGATAAGGCCTGGAAGAGTGGACAGCCCGCAGGTGGAACTCGAATGGTCACGGCGTCAAACGGGAGTAGATAGGTTCAATAAGATGGACACTTAGCGGAGGGGAGGGGAGAGAACATACCGAACTAGTAAATCATCGTTTGTCTCTGACGCCTGCTTCCTCTCGTCGTACCGTCGCACCTCGTAGATCAGGCGAACCGTACCTTGCCCCCCATGTTCCGTTAACATGCGTAGAATGGAGAAGCGATACCTCGCCTGTATTCGTCAAGTCCTCCTACGCTGCACCTTGCATGATATTTGCGGACTTGGTGATACCGATGTAAATTACGATCCTGACGGATATTGGAGCGTCCTCAGAGGGAAGGTGATGAAGGGAGACGTGTAGGGCACCTACCAGCAGCGAGGGCTTGACCGCAGCGTCACAGCCGGAGTCGACGCACTTCGCGCGGACGTCGTGAGTCTCATCTGTCCAATGGACCCTTCTAACCCAACGAGGTCTCATCCGAGGTACATCGCCGAATAGTGACTATGATTACGGGATGAGTAAAAGGCGATACAGCGATTATACGTGCACGACACATACGGAGGTACGAGAGGCATGGAGTGCCATAGACGGGCGGAAAGGAATGCAGAACAGCACAAAGAGGGCGAAGTGCGAGAGGGGAATGACGGTACAAGTGCTCCCAGAAATAATGCGACCAGGCAGATTAAGGGGGGGACGATAAGAGCAGCGATGGTCCACCAAGGGGCGACGAGCAATGGCGACGAGGGAGTAGTGGTGATGGTCGAAAAGAAAGAGCGTGGGAAGCCGCGAGCAGGCTTGATATGGGGAATTGCGATGCTTGGGCGGCTATCGCGGATCCCCGGGCGGCTATCTCGGGAGATCCGAGATAGCCGCCCACAAGCCGCCCACGCATCGCAATTCCCCATATCAAGCCTGCTCGCGGCTTCCCACGCTCTTTCTTTTCGACCACCCCACTCCCATCCCGCTCAACGCCCCACTCGCCGTTCTCAGCTGGGAGCGCCGCCCCTCCCGCTGATCAGGCCAGACCCAGGGCTAGCATGTGGCTGTACCTAGTTGCGATTCCCCATATCTTGGTTGCCCTCGACTTCCCACGGTCTTTCTTTTCGACCATCTCACTCCCATCCTCGCTGCACGCCTCGCTTGTCGTCAGCTGGAAGCGCTGCCACTTCCACATTTCTCTCTTGCAGATGTACGTATACTCAACGTTTGAGCTAGACATAGCCGCTGACTCATGCGCCGTTTCAGCCTATGCATATATTCATCGCACTCTTTATCCCGTACACGTCTGCAATGGATCGAGTACTGCGAGTGGAAATTGAAAGTTCGGACGAGGTAGTTAGCGTACGCACGTAGCGTTCCCCGCAGGGTAATTTCCGAGTTCCTCCTCTCAGAGTCTGGGTAGGTTGCATTTGAGGCTGACGTTTGTTTTCCGCAGCTCAGTCTCGCCCGGAAGTCGCTAATGCATACTTGTACCATTATCCCGGGGCACGATAGTGGGATTGTTCCCCTCGTGATCATCGATATTCTGCGAACGTAAGTACGTTTGCTTAGCTACGGACACGCCGGAGCAATTCGGTAATGGTAACAAGGAATTTAGGTTTGACGCACTGCATGGCGTTATCACCAGCATCGCCTCCTTCAAGACAAAGATATGACCAAGAAAAGGAGTTCCACAATACAACGACGACGCCTAAACAAGATTCCGCACATCACGCGGAGTCTTGGTGTCCGGTGCTCAAAAGGCCGCCATGCTGTATTGCCCAACTTCTGTGCACTTCAGAGATCGTCGATGCATGTAAGCCCCCTTCCCCTCCCGGACGTACTCTTTGGTACCCGCGTATTAATTGTGTCGTAGAGTTCCGTCAAGGCTACACCAGGCATTCCCGCCATTCGCCGACATTACCATCCTCTCCTCGCGACACAGTCATTCGCACGAGAGGATATGGGTCCTTTCCCCGTCTTATCGTACGAGACAACATTCCCGCTTGACGAATCCGGACCTACACCCGACGTCGCAGCAACGCCATCAACAAGTGGAGTCCAGATTTCAAAGCCCAAAGGCGAAGTTACTCGCTTGAAACGTGATGGGTATAATCTTCAAGACGCCTTGGGTTGGTCTGACGACCACTATGCCGACGTCCAGGTTGGCCAGTCATCCCTATGCGACTCATCGTAACTCACACTCTCGTAGAGACACCTTCAGGACCTTGCTACCAAGCACCTCAACCCGACCAAGACTTTCAAGGCCCAAACAGCGGAGGCGTTTAGCAAACTATGCGATGAGGTTAGTGTTGCGCGTGTAATCATAATTCCCAGACCCTCATCTTTTCAGGCAAAGAAGAAGTATCCTGAACTCGCCAATTACGAAGACGATTGGGTCGCTGCCGATTTCCTGTCCATTTACTGCAAGAATAAGAAAGCTAGAACTAAGCTTAACTAGGAGTAGCGTAGAACTAAGCAGCTTCCATGGTTACTGTACGGTATAAGAATTCACTCATGCACGATACAAAAGCAGATTACTCAGGTACAATTCAATGATAAGCCAGTCCTGGATGACACAATAGCAACCGGCCCAAGTACGATACAATAGTAGACTTAACCTCGTCAAATCCGTCTCCTTTTGTTCCCCTGTCTGCACATATATTTGATGTCTGTGACAGTGACTTGTTCATCCTACGTATACCCATGTCCGACACCGAGTCTAACACCATCCCCCACCACGGCGATCCTACTCATTCGCAGGATGCCCCCACTTTCAGCAGAGGGCTCCAGCGCATATTGCCTTCATTCTTGGTCTCCACAGTTAATTTACCGAGGCCTATACCTCAGCTCCCTTCTCTGGAGCGCCATCGCGAAGCACTGAGACCCAACGACGCTTCCCATCCCATCAACTACAGACGCCCTTCAGCCGTGGCCGTCCGAGCGGATCGTCTCTATGAACCCGTCGTAAGTTCAGCTCCGATTTTCAATCTCGTCTTTAAATATATCCCTTTCTAGATAAGTCATACCCAATCCACCGTTCGTGATCCTCCAGGGCTGGACCCTGTGGACGATCCTTCTGTGCCGCAGCATCGACAATATTCTCTTCCCGCTGTCTCGCTGGATGCGCATACACCCCCTCCTCGCCAAAATACTAGCTCTTGTCCCGATCCATCGCGCCAGCAGTTCGCAGATCCTGGGCCTGATCTTTCACTCCAGCAGGCCGAAGCGTCCAATCCGGTCCTCCAACAACATGTAAGTGACCGAGTCTCGATCCCACATTCCAGCGCCATTTTCACGGCTCTTTTAACACCGCCGGTTCGTTTGTACAGGCTGGATGGCCTGATCCTCCGTCTCCAGGTGCTCTGCGGCCTCCTCTCCCCGTTCATGCTCGCAGCAAAGGCAAGACGAGTATTGGACCTCAGAGGTCCAGCCCCACTGTTGACCACCACGAACCATATCCTAGTGTCGGTTCGCGAAACACGTACCGTGAGCCAGTCCAGAAGCGGCTCTTGGGTACTTTGAGGGATGCAGACCCCCATGTTTCTATAGTAAGCGTATTATTCTATTGCAGCCGAGAATGACCGACCATCCCAACATTCGCTACAGCAGGCACATACCGCAGACGTCGACGTAGCATCCATCTTTCCACTGTCTTCCAGAGCCGTGACAGACGCGATGGTAAGCCACGTCTTGATTCATTGTAAATCAATGCTCAAGCCATAATAATAGCGCCAACCATCGGTTCCCGATAACTATAATGACCATGTCATGGCGCCTCCACCTGAGCTGAACGAACCACCAGCTACCACACAGGGAAAACCAGCGAGCCCTAACGAGAAGCACACATTGCCCACCTCACCTACGCAGCAAGACTTGACGTCCATCTCGAGGGATACTATCGCGCCCTCCTCCGTGCCGGTTATCGCGGACGAGGATATCTCCATGGTGCGTTTTTTAATTGTTACTCCCCATCTGAGGTTCTGACATCGACTTGAAGCTGAACATAGGGAACGCGTATGGAACAGTAAATACGAGTGGGTCTTCCCGTCCAGCACCTGAACCACTGCTAGGATCAGTACATGTATGCCACCCCCCTCCACCTCGCCCTTTTGACGTGTTCTTTTACTTACACTATTTCTAGGCCGTATTACGTTCTGAGTTACAGCAACCTGGAACAGGGCCCATGCCGAATACTCCAAGCCGACCATTACCCCTACCTCATCGCGCTGGCGTCTATCTAACAGACGAGCAGGTGGGGCACCTAGCAGGCAGGCTAGCGCCCATGCTAACGCAAGCCCTTCTGGACTTTTCACGATCCAACACATGGCATGCTGGCCCCCAGGGCGGAGGTTTCGTTCAACCTTCTGCTGATGACGGCGACGACACTGAGCTCGAGGACACCACTGGTGTCCGAAAGGCACAGGCTTATGGTCAGGATTTCGCTACCAGACGGGCGAAAGCCGAAGCCAGTGTAAGTTTGGATCCGGCGCATCGGAGAAGGAAGGGTAATTATGTGAAGTATCCGAAAGGGCTACATGTGAGTAGTGCACGCCTCCCTTCGCTGTTTGCGTATAATACTTAATTCGAAATAGAATGCAATCCGCAAATATCTAGTAGAGAAACAGCTGTATCTCTCCTCCTCAGCACGAGACCGCGCCTTGCCAGTAGCAAACCCGATGGATGTATCCCGGTACGAAGCCGACGCAGCAAGCCCCCCCACCCTTTCGAACATCGCATTCGATTGGCCCGCCGCTCTGGAGTCTCGCTGGAACAAATACGTTCTCGATATTCTATCGGTCAATTTCTATCAGAAGGTAGAAGAAGGGATGGCAATCGAAGGCGTTGACCGCCATACCGTTGATCTTAGCACCATTCGGACGCTCATCAAAACCAAAATCACGACCACGCGGAACAAAGTCAACGAGACTCGAGCGGCAACGACAGCAGAAGAACAGGAAAGATTGAGAACGAAAGCCGAACACCGTTATCAACTTGACAGGATGAATACTCGTCGCCATGGGGTTCGCAATGTCCTGTGTTCTATCGATTCATTACTCATTACCAGTGCGTAGACATATCAACGTCGGAAGCGGATTGTCACATTTGTGCACGCCGGCATTGCGGATGATACTTGGAGGGACATAGACAATGTTCTAACTAGGCTGGACTCAGCAGGGATGAGTGACGATGAAACCGACGACGAAGGACCCCCCAAGGTGCTGCGCCGCGTTCGAATCCCATGGCTTCATCCGGATATATCAGAGTTGTTCCGTCGTGTTGAGAGTTACCATCAAGCTGTGCGCGCAGAGACACTGACACACCTGCATCGGGGGAACCGGTCGTACCCGAGGGATTACGAAGCCATCCATGTCGACAGCGCGCGGCCTGTTATACAGGGTCTTCCCGCTAACTACTACCATCCCGAGTGGTTGCGTACACTGAACGACGCTGCGCGCCAGATGTTACAGATGCAAGCCAATTCTCCGTTACCAGACCTTGTGAGTTCGCTTCACTACCCGAAGTCTTGTTTTTTACGCTCTTTCAGGCCGTTTACGATGGGCCGCTCACCAGTCGCTTATCGACCCGCTGAGCGCCCCGATAAGCGGGTCATTTCATCTTGCATGACATCAGATTTTGAATTGCTTGAGATGCCGAGCGAGGGATAAGAGTCATACTGAGATTTACAATCAATTACGTGCTCTTGATTTGCACATTCTTTAAAATATATAGGTGTTTAAATTCAGGATCTGTTTCAGCATTTATGTGACGCAGGATTCGGAGTTTTTTGTACGGTCCTATGGCCTGTTCGACTCCTCCAGAAAGATACAAAGTCACGCGCTAAATAAGAGTGTTCGATTGATTTTGTACCGCTGCTGAGTTCGTAGATTGAATCTGTCTTTTGGCATCTGATGGTCCGCGCCATGCTTGGGTTTATTTAAGATCTTGGTTCAAATATTTATGCACAAACCATATATAGACATATTTAACCTGTTTATGAGGATATTTCATTCAATATTCACACCCTTACGATTCGACCCTGCCTCAGGTGTCAAGCTTCAAGCTTCAAGCCCGGCCCGGTCCAGGCGGAGTCTGAAAGAACGGATAAGGGGTGGGTCACGTGTGGTTCACTTATTGTGACGTTGTCGCGCCGTTCCAAACCACCGCCAGCGTCTAAACTCATCGGAAGCTCCTCTTATTGTCCCTTCCAGCTTTAAAAGCTCTCTTCTTCTGTCGCTATTTCACCCATCCCTTTCTTCTCTGTGTAAACGTACATTTATCTCTTTGCGCATCACACATGGCAGCATGCTAACGACGTTTTGGACTAGATGCCAAGCAAAACATATGCGCGGGGCTTCGTCGTCGACATGGACGCCCTTAGAAGGTATCTCAACGCTTTCAACTTCAGTAAACATGAACTCCCCCCGCTTCAGCCCACGGACCCCAATCCAGAGGGGCGTGTGGGTGCCTACCACGCAAGGATGGAGCGCGTTCAGAGCGAGGTACTGCCTAAGGGAAAGCAGCTCGAGTTCTTGTATTGTAAGTCATTGCCCCTGAAACACACTCGCAATAGACTCAATTCCCGCATTCTGAAGGGTTTGTCACCCAGCATAGAGAAACGGGTGACTTCAGGACCTACTTCTTCATACCAACAAGTCGGGCCTCCGAGAAGGCCGCGCTAGAATCTTTCCCAATGGTCGAGAGGGACAGGAAACGCCTTCAACACTTCATGGCGACTACCAATGGCCTTCTCCCCGAGGGCAAGCAGGAGACATGCGCATTCAAGAGAGAAAACTTCCGATGGAGAGCCATTCCCGAGATGGCTCTATTTCCGAATCTGCACCCCATGGTGAATGTTGACTAGCTCTCACGCGCACGCTTTGTTTCTACTAGACTCTGGTCTTCCGAGTATTCCGTCGTTGTATGGTATGTGTATTGAAATGTGACGGCTCATCTAATAAGTGTGATGTAACGACCAGATGAATGCGATTGACCGCAGTAGATACGCTTGGCGCCCCCACTTTCCCAAGGATGGGCATGTTCGGTTCGTGCAATATGAGCCCTAGGGCCTCGGTCAACTTTCTAGTGGACCTTGACCAGTGCCCAACCGAGTTTCAGCCAGCCACAAACTTCCAAAGGGGACTTAGCCCTGCATGTCCAGCGATTTGGTAGGCAGACATTGCAGCAGAGCAGGGCAGAGTTAAAAGCTTTTGAGGTGGATTAGATGAATCTGCATGCATAAGAAGGGCCCAGACACCTCCGCACGAGCAGAGCCTTGTTGAACGATGGTGCGCGCTCAAGTCGAATCACGTCTAGCGCGTTTGGGTTGCCTGGCGTCATCTTCCACGTATCGATCTGTCGTCTTGCGAGCGCGACCCTCGTTTGCGGCAGGCTGCACTTCTCCGCGCCTGACCCAACCGTCGTCTGTCACAGCCCGCCACGCTGGATTTCCGAGCGCCGTCTTGAGCTCGGCTGTCATCCATTCGTGTCTCAGAAATCTCTCCTTTGTTGCCGCTGGGATGGCGTTCGGGTCCGGGTCGTCGTCGTAGAGGTGATAGAGATGGTCTACGAGGTTGATGAGGATGTTTCGGAGTGGCTCTGTAGGGAGTTTCATGCGCCGGATATGTCGACTGCCCGACTCGATGATTAGGAGCTTGCCGCGGCCTGGATGGGCGGGTGGATCGTATTGGCTTAACCACCACGCGCGGTCTTCGGCGCGCACATTGCTTGGGGCGTACTTGACCGCGGTCCAATACAGGACATGGACGAACGACTCGATGTCGTCCCGCAGCCCATGCGGGATGCTCGGATCCATCAGGAGTCGGATGGACCTGAACTGCCATGTGCCCTGTCGAGCGTCGTCAGGAGGGCGTGCGCCGAGTGCGCAGTGGGGGGCTTACAGTCCTTTCATACGCTTGAGCATCGTTGTCGGTGACCTTCATGGCCATTTCCCAATCGATCAGGAACCCTTGGTTGTTTTCACGGTCGATCAAGATATTACCCGCTGATACGTCTCTGTGAAGAACGCCGTGACGAAAAGCTTCACAATGAGCTGAGAGTGACCGATGAGCGTAATTCGCAAAGACATCAGAGGATGTACCTTGGAATGCATAAGCAACAGCATTGACAAGTTCCCATGTAGACCGAAACTTAGCAAGAGGCACACCGACCTGCTTGAGAACAAGCCTCGAATGGACGAGACGCTGAATACCGCCTCCGTCCACACCGCACTCCTGACCAGACACGTCACCCGCAGCTAAAACGTCTGGAATGCACTTAACACCCCTGCGCTTCAGATACGCGTACGTCTCGCGCTCAGGAGTGAACGTGCTTATCCGCCATGTATCCTTCAGCAGCACCAGCTCACCATCGGCGCAGTCGTACGCCCTGAAACAACGCGTGCCGCGGCCGACGGGACGCTGGTGCGTGTTGGTGAACGGTGTTGATACGATATAGTCGAGCTCTTTCCCGCTCGCATAGTCATGCACCATAACCTTGTATAGCGAATCCGACGGAGCGGCACCGAGCAGCCGACGCGCAGCCTCGGCTCGAGAGTCTGATGGAGGAAGCACACAAAACGTAGCATCGTATCCACGAGATCCGTTGTCCGCATGAGAGTAACGCCAAAGAAAGTCCTGAAGGTGCTCCGTCTCGGTCCAGGAAAAGAGAGGAGTCACTTCCATGCCACTTCGAGTGTGGCGCAGCAGTCGACAAGTTTCTTGCATGATGTAGACGCCGAAGACGCAAGTACGCTGCTGGCAGGACTGGATGGCGCTCGCGTATGCTGCGAGCTGGCCGCGAGTGTCTCTGGCGCGGAGCGAGTCGCGTTCTACCCCGAGGTCGCTAGTGCTGGGGTCGTCGCGTGTGGTGAAAGGCTCGTCTAGTTGGTCTAGCTTACACTCTACGAAGAGTTCTATTTTCCTGAAGTCGGTCTTCTCGAAATTGATAGGCGGGGAACTGTAAACGGATATGTCGGGCTTGACGTCGTCCAAACAAAGCTCCTCGGGTGCGTGGGACAACGCCAACGAATTAACCATAACCCAGCCATCTTTCAAATAGGGCGTCATAGCATAGATCTTGACGTTCCTCAGACTGATCAACACACAGACTGAGTGTAAGGAGAGCTCACGAAAGGATCGTACATGGCCGTTTCAGGCGTAATGGTACCTATGCCTTGGAACGAATCGCGCTGTACCTGCGGTCGCGGAGTGCTGGGCTGCGGGACGTAGGCAAGCATTGCGTCTACGGGTATTTCTGTGTATTTGTTCTTCATTTCGTTTGCCGCGACCTCAAAAGCGTTGAAGGCGTAGTTGTGCGTTGTTGTAAATTGCATAGACGAGACGACAGTTTGGCTGAGGGGAATGCTTGAAGCAGCCTGTTCTTCTGCTTGACCGCAGGATTGTTCGAGAGCGAGAGGATGATCCGGGGATGAAGAAGACATGGCAGGGGGAGAATGACGGAGACGAGGACAGAGAGATAGAAACAAGACCAAGAGTTTCGACGCGTCGAAATTCACGTGCCATGTCATTACGCGTACCGTCGTCTTTAGGCATCAGCTCACACCTCGCTGACCATTCGAACGGGCAGAAATCCATATGCTACTATACATGCTTTGACTATACGAACCACGAAAAAACAGCGCAGAAATTATTCAATTACGATCAGAAAGCACCGCACCTCCACCACCACCGTGCCCACCACACACTCGCTCCCAGCCAACGAATCACGCCTTAACAGGCACCCTCGCACGGCCCTTCGTCGCCTGGCGCTCGACCCCCGAACCGCCCGCACCCACGCGGGGCTGCTCCGTCGGCACATCAGGCAGCGCGCGGCGCAGACTCGTCCACCGCCCAAGACTACCCATGCCGGACGGCGTCGCGTTCGCGTTGTGGCTGCGCACGCTCGGCGTGCGGAGCGGCGCCTTCTCGTCGTCGTCGTATGCGTACGAATACGTCGACGCGGCGTCGCCGACGAGCGTGCTCGAGCGGCCGGAGTAGAAGGACGCTTTTTCGTCGGTGTCGAGGAGGCCGCGGCGCTCCGAGTCCGAAGGGATGATACCGGGGCGTTTGCGCTGGATGAGTGTGCGCGAGCGGCGCATGACGCCGGATGCGGCGCGTTTGAGGGCCTCGCTGGATGGGGCGGTGCCGGGGATGCCGCTCGCGGTGGGTTCGGCGGCGGGGGCGGGGGCGGGGGCGATGTAGTTGCGGGTGAGGATGTCGTCGAATGATTTAACGGGGCCGTGGGTGCGCTTTGGGGTGGGCCTGTTGCGCTCTGTGAAGGAGCGGTGAGTACGGGTTGGAATGGTAAAGCAAAGATAAGGTAAGGTAGATTGCCGGGGTGGTGATAGGGGGAGTAGTTAAGGGGGTATATGGGGAGATGTACCTGTGATGGTTACCCTGCGACGAGGAGGGAGGGGTGCGTCGACTGCGACGAGCTCGCCGTATGTGTTGCCCGGGTGAGATTGGTAGAGCTGGCCAGAGTGGTCGCGGAAGGTGTAGCGCTCTGAGTCGGCGTCGTACGCGATGCGTCTCATGCCCTCTGGGAGACGGGCAGAGTCCTACAGGAGTTTGTGTGGTCAGTCACAAGACGACGAATGCGTGAAAAAAACGTACGTCGGCGTGCTGCGTGAAGCGGTTAGGCATTGTGAGATGGTAAGGGGAGCGCAGAAGGTAAAGAGAGTAAAGTGTGGGTGAGAACAAGAGGGAGAAGGATGATAAGGAGGCTAGGGGAGGGGTAATATATACCACAGGGTACTATAGAAACGAGAGGAGAAAGAATGTCGGCAGGACTCTAGGGGATGGTGGCGCAGCCAGAAGCGTGATCGGAAGGAAGTGAGGCGTGGGCGGAGTGGGAGCAGAAGAACTTGTATGGTTATGAAGCCTCGAGTTGGGGGTCCACAGCCAGCACGTAAGCAGTAGGCAGGCTCGGAACTACTGTAGTGTTTCGGAAACCAGTTCGAAGGCCTGAACCAGCAGGGATCTAGAAGTGAAGAACGAGAGGGCACTGCCCGTCGAAGAAGCGGAGAGGATTGCAGGAAAGATGCGGGCACAGCAGAAAAGATGCTGCGGAGATGGTGGTGGTGGCTGACTGAAGAGATATGGACGGTGGGATTTCACAAGAGGATACAATGAGGCGTTGTGAGGGGCAAGTCTGGAACTTGGATACCCTCCAGCCCCTGTCTCGTGCTTTGGCTCAAAGTTAACCATGGTCAGGAAACGAATAAACGGCCAAAGACGGAGCGGACATCGAACGCCGAGCGCGGAATACGAGGCACAGCTATGACAGGGCGAGGGTGATCATGACGAGAAAATGCTGTGTGATCTACATGAGTGGGCACAGGAACTCCAGGACATGAGGCTGGGTGCAAGAGCAAGGCTAAGCAAAGTAAGAAAAGTTGCTATTGAGTTTGTTATCTTTACTGTGACCGAAACTATTGACACCTGCCAATCCAGGCGACGCGTCACCTCCACCTCCTGCACATCCTACTCTACTCTACACCCCCATACCCTTCCCACTCCTCCCTTAATCTTCCCCTCTACCGCTTGTTGCTGCCACAATGCCGCTCGAGGCAACGATGATGATCATCGACTCTTCGGAGTACATGCGCAACGGCGACTACCAGCCGACGCGCTTTGACGCACAGATGGACGCCGTCTCCACCGTCTTCCAGACAAAGACAGATGCCAATCCCGAAAACACAGTCGGCGTCATGACCATGGCTGGCAAGGGGTGCGCAGAGCCTCTTCATCTCTCTATATATGTCATACTAAATAGATTACTCTCAATTTATACGTTATGTTCGTATGCATGCAGGCCAGAAGTGCTCGTCACGCACTCGAAAGAGCTCGGCCAGGTCCTCAAGGGCGTGCACGCCATCGCTCGCTCCATTGGCGGCCTCCCCGATCTCAGCACCGCCCTCACCATCGCCCAGCTCGCGCTCAAGCACCGCGAGAACAAGAACCTCCGTCAGCGCATCCTCGTCTTCCTCGCCTCGCCGCTCGACGGTGCCGCAGCCGACCCGGCACACATGAATCAGCTCGCGCGCAAGCTCAAGAAGAACAATGTCGCTGTTGATTTCGTGTTGTTTGGGGATGCGCTCGGCGAGGAGGAGGGCGGCGCGGAGAGGGTGCTGAGGACGTTTGTAGAGACTGTTTCGAGTAGCGATAACTCGTGCGTTTCTCGTTCCTAATTATTGTTCTTAGATTATATGCTACTGGATCTGACTGGTATTGTGTAGGCATCTAGTAACGATCTCTCCAGGCGCGCATCTCCTCTCGGACGTGCTCATTTCCTCGTCTGTCCTCGCCGACGACCGTGGTATCCCGCCCGAGGCGATGGGCACGGGTGCCGACGCGGGACCATCGGGCGCGGCGAGCAACGACTTTGAGTTTGGCGTCGACCCAACGCTCGATCCCGAGCTTGCCATGGTATGTCGTCCACGATCATCTCACCCTTGTCTTTCAACACTGACATTGCATTGCTCCCTCGCAGGCGCTGCGCATGTCGATGGAAGAAGAACGCGCACGGCAAGCCGCGGAGGACCAGGCGCGTTCGGGCGGCGCGGGTGGCGCGACTGCGCCCTCTCAGCCCGTCGCGCCTCCCGCGCCGACGGCGGCAGACCCGGACGAGGAAGAGCTGCTGAAGCGCGCCATTGCGATATCGCAGGGCCAGGAAGGGGATGTGGACATGGGTGGGGGAGGGGACGGGGAGGAGGAAGATGAGGAGGCTGCGATTGCGCGGGCGATTGAGATGAGTATGCAGCAGGGGGGCCAGGAGGAGAAGGGAGAGGACAAGGACAAGGATAAGAGCAAAAAGTCGTAGTTTCTTTGTTGCTGCTTTGATTGTATGAGGAAACAAAAACAAGTGTATCCTACTCTAGATCGCGTCTGACCAATAGCGGGGTGAACGTTCTGACATATACTCGGCAGCAGTAGGGAGAGAATATGGGCTTGTGTTTATCCTCTACATGAGCAGGCCCAAATGCTCCCTGGGCGGCCGGCATGTCGTCCCGCTGCCGCTGAGGCATACAAGGCGTCATATAAGCTGGGACTATATTATTCTCCGACCGCCCAGTTCATATCGGCGCCAGATGACAGATATCACCATCTCTTCACCGCCTTCCAGCATTTTCAGGCGCTCGCTGTTTTATTCCCCAGGCTCTGGTGAACGATTGTACTGTCCGACGGTCGATCGATGCAGATCGAAAAGCTACTGTCACCCGCACCGTCCAGCAACATAAAACCCCCGACGGCGTTCAAACCTCGGCGTCTCCCTGGCGAGATCGTCCTCTTTGGCGACTCCCTCACGCAGCGCAGTTGGCAGCCGGGCGGGCTTGCGCAGCGTCTTGCAGGTGCGCTTACCTTACCTTTCCGTGGTCTCTTGCCGGTGCGAGAAGCTGGTACGGCGGCGGCAAGACGCTGATGGGGCTTCATATGCGCACGTGCGCTTTTGGACGTTAATCTAACGTTGGTGTCTATGCATAGACGCGTATGTGCGAAAGCTGGATGTCGTTAATCGGGGCTTGGGAGGGTATCAGTCTACCTGGGGGACACGCGTGCTCGAGCAGGTGAGCCTTTCCCTTAATATTCAGTCAAATCATCCACTGCCGCCGCCGCCACTTGTTTCAGTGGCGCCGTCGATTGTCTTCTTCTTTGTGACTTGGCTGACCTGTCTTCTTCGCACGACGCAATCATCTGCGATGTATAGCTCCTCGCGCAGCGCAATGCACCGGGCACACCATCCATCGAGCTCATCACGATCTGGTTCGGCGCCAATGACGCAGCGCCGCCAGGCACGGGGCAGCACGTCCCGCTGCACCAGTTCACGCTCAACCTGCACCGCATGATCGACATGGTGCGCGGGCCACCCACCACACCATCGTCGCCTTCGCCTTCGCCATCGCATAATAGCGCGCTCTCGGATCCGACAGCACCACACACACCACAGCCATACATCCCACCACCAGACCACAACGCGGCGCCGGACCCGGCCACACGCATGCTGCTGCTCACGCCCCCGCCGCCGGCGCCGCAGGTGTGGAATCTCGCGCATTTTCCGCGGCAGATCGCGCTCACACGGGCGTACGCGGCGGAGGTGCGCGCGGTGGGCAGGCAGCGGGGTGTGCCGGTTGTGGACGTGTGGGCGGGGCTGAGCGTTGCGGCTGTTGGGGAGGCGTATGTGGCGCGGTTTTTGGTGGATGGGTTGCATTTGAATAGGGAGGGGTATGAGGTGAGTGCTTGATGGTTGTTTTAGTTGGTGTGAGTGGGTGGGGTGGAATTAATGCTGATGATGGTGGGGGTAGTTGGTGTATAATATGGTGGTGCATGCGATTAGGGAGCATTATCCGGATATGTTGCCCGAGAGGCTTCCGGATGCGTTTGGGGGAAAGTAGAGTCGGTGGTGATGGGTTGGTGGATGGCTCGCTTTATTGGAACTGATGCACGATACCATATCTTAGCTGACGCCATGTATCAATCCGAATCTGTTCTCGTTTCGTTTTCATGTAATGTGTTGGAAAGAAAGACGGTGTTGTAAATAGCCCCTGTCTGATTCCCTGTGGGCTACAGGATTTCGCCGCATCCCCGACTCCCGACTCCCGACTCAGTCCGACTCAGTCCGACTCAGTACACGACTCTGACTTCCCCCTCCTTGGTGATTGATCCTATACACGATCTGTGTGTAGTTAACGTGTTATTGCTCATGCCCGTATACATTGACCATATGTACATACTGCAGACCAATTGAAGACTTCACATGATTATGATCCTACAAACTCCATTATACCTTATATTTTCCTCGTCCTGAGCATTGTTTCTTGGAGATATATATATGTTAGTACCAGCAGTGTTCTGATTGCCTTAATAAACCCCAGCTTCCAATTGCAGGGATGTCACAAAAAAACTCCAATATCTCATCAGCATATCATTGCTATTGCTAATGAAAATCGTGTCAAAGGATGTATCGATGACTTCTGTCTAAGGCTTGGGGGTGGATTTGGATACCATGGACCTGATGGACCTGACTCGGACCCGACTCGGACCTGACTCGGACCTGACTCGGACCTGACTCGGACCTGACTCGGACCTGACTCGGAGTCGGGTAGTCGGGTAGTCGGTAGTCGGGTAGTCAGGTAGTCGGGTCTGAGTCAGGTCTCACTTATTACCCAGCCTGATACCACTCTTGAGCAACCATACTGTACTCATGGTACAAATTATATAAAATGTTCAGAACCCAGATGCAAAAAGGAAAACTGACTACTTAGTCTAGTCTATCCACCTACTATGTGACATGTTCAGAAGCATATAATCATAATCCCACATGTGAATTTGTTCACCGACTAGACTTGGACAGCACGACTCGGAGTAAACAGAATTAAGCAGCCTCTTCACGTTCATCATCAGACTCAGACCTCCCCGTACTTTTCCTCAATCCCAGCCCACCCATGGCCTTCCGGTAGCTTTCCTGGATATGTTTAGAAAAAGTGAGAGTTAGTGTGAGGTAATGTGCCCCATGTGCGAGTGTTGTTCCATGGCGCATCTTTGGCCTGAACCCAAGCATAGTGCCTTGAGACTCTTTGACCACAATCCGCAGGCTCTCTTCAACAAAGTTTCCGCCACCAAACTGTAGGTCCCTTGGTGTGTCCTTGGGATCAGCTGTGCGGTGCACATACCACGATAGTGCAAAGCCACAGTACGTAGTATCAGTATGACAAGGCCTGTTCATTTAACAATAGCATTATACACATGCAAATATATCTGTTGCAGTAACAGATAGACTTACGCCTGATAATCTTGGGTTATGTAACCCTCAGGAGGACAGCGCGACATTCCTGGAAAGTGGTACCGGAGACCAGTTTCATCCTCTATGGTCCAGCTGGTATCTGGAGCAGGCTGGTATTAATTATGCATTTTTAAAGTCACAAAATCATCAGAAAATCTTACACTCGGGAATGCTCCTTGTTGCCATGAATGGCATGCTTTCTTCTGTAAGCACTTTGGTGATTTCCGTTATGAGCTCCTCGGGCATCACCACAGATGCCGCACACCAAAAAAGATTCATAGCTGCCAAGACATCTTCATCCTGGGTGGCCATCAGCTCAGGCGAGACTATCCTTAGCCAGCTTTTTGCCAGGCCCCACACACGGGCGTTAAGTTGCCCAGCGTTATAACCTAACTGAACCATTTTACCCATATGCCAGGGCTGTGCTAGTAATTAATGCAAAAATATCACAGGAGCACAGCATTATCACGTACACGGACATCACGCCGGTCGCTGCATGCATAGCTTGCAACTTCAGCAAGCCAGCGGTACAGGTGCTCCGAGAAGTCCGAATCACCAAGCACATTGCGGATGACGGCCAACTCAAGGCGGAAATGCCCTGTGTCTAGAATATCCAAATATTCTAGTAAATCTGCAAAGTCCAAGTATGTAACCCACCGTCCTTGGATACAACAATCACAGATTCATCCTCGGGTATGATTGTATATCCGTTATCCGCTGTAGCCCTCCACCGCTTTGCCTGATCTCCATCTGCTGAGCTTTCAGTGTAATAGTAGCCACAGCGGGAGGGGCACATATTTCTTGTATTACGCTGTTGCCTAAGAATTGTCGGAAATCTTGTAGCCAGCTCAGGACCCATACCGGCCATCTTCTCGAGGGGCGGGAGCCGGTTGCGGGGAGCAAGACCAAGCTGATACATCTAAAACATATATATTTTAGCTGTGAGCACAGAGCAGAATTTAATACGTTTCACTTACGGCAGTTCGTTTCTCTTCGTGCGATGCTAGTCTTTCATCCACCTGCCGAGCCTCCCTGAGGGCCTGCTTCAGCACTTCTAAACTGTGCAGTACACTGGCAGCAGCCGCCTCAGTGTGAGCCTCGCTCAGTACCCGATGAGCACGTGACAAAAAGCCATCTCTATTCTGAAGCAAAAAGGTCAACATATATACATGTCCACAGGAATAGACCTACATTTTTTATTGTATGGTTAACCTGGGTTGCATCCCTGATAAGGGACTGCAGCTCGGACTCTGACCTAGCATTACAAATCCTATCCATGACTTTGGGGCTGAGAAGCCATTCAGTGACTAGGGTCAAACACATTAGTTATACATGCTGACATCATCACTGGGGACATACAGCGTTGGTTTAGCTCCTGTCCTGTGGGCCTAGGGCTCAACATGATGGCAAGAGTCAAAGAGTGGAGTGGACAAATACATCCACCCACCGCATGTATCTATTTGGCAGCCTATTCATACATATGTCCCACTCATTATGCTATCATTCCCACTTGAACTATTTATAAGCCGCCCTCCCTGTCTGCCACTCAGGCGAGTTACTCTAGGTCCACCGCCAGCCCCAGTTGCCATGAATACTGTAGCAAGAGGTCAGGACTGTCGCGATCGCATTCACGACAGCATGACCAGTCATGACACTTACGATTTACTTACATTTCACGCATCGTCGTTGAAGTCGTAGCTTCACTTCTTAATGCAATAGGTCACGTGACCGGCTACCTCAATAACCGGTCACATGACCCGGTTCGGTTACTTTACTTACCCGGCTTACATAATCATTCCATGACTTTCCCGGACATTCTTTATGACTTCATCGTGACATCATAAACGCGTCATCAACGCGTCATACATGACATCACTCATACGTCACTCGTTTACCATTAGTAGTAGTACCTCGCACTGCTTGGTCTGTGCGCACACTGTCCTTACCATATTAGTTAGTCTGTTTGGTTCAACCAAACACCATGTACTTGTATATAGTCGGAGCAATCTACGCCCCAAGACTCTAAGTGAGTTCTTGTGGGAATCCCTCCTAACAGCTCTACACCTAGTCTTGCCACGTCGGCGAGCAGTCAACCCGCCCCGCCTTCCCTCTCGTTGTCGTCCTGTATAGGGCTTCGACGTCTACCTTCTTCTGTAGTTTTTGCGTGTGTTGGTTTCTTGGGCTCGCGCCTTAGGAGTCGCTCACAAGGACAAGGGCAACAGAGCGAGAGGAAGAGTACGAGTGCAAGAGGGCAGGAATACAAGGACAGGTAGTCATACCTAGTCATGAATGAGTGCAGCGCGATCATGGGTATGCAGATCGATTTGGATATCTGCTATCTTTGAGCTCAGGCATGCTGGCTGAGCATAAATGGGGCACCCGTTGCTGCTGGCCTTCATAAACTGCTTCCTCGAGAATGGGCGGTAGAGTCAGGAAGAGGCAGTCAGGTTCTAGACCGGGCAAATTTGAGGAAGCTGCGTCGAGGAACAGGACTAGTAATGATGTTGAAATAATTATAAGAATAAAGAATAATAATAATAAAACGCACCCTTCGAGAGAGATGATGGCGTCGACAGCTGGCAAAATGCACAAGGCCTCTCTGCGTTGCACGAATATGTTCTCGTGCTGGAACCAGTGAGATAGCGTCAAGGCAAGAGAGCACAGGAAGACAGGAGCACTCACGAGTATAGTGTCTGAGTAGTTCTGGCAACAACCAGGTCAGATGTGCCTTTCAAGGCGCAAGGATAGAACTCACACCAGTCTGAAAACCCGCGTGATAGAGGTGGTGTACTATTTGCTCGTTGTGAACATGATAGGGAACTCTGGAGTCAAGGGAGGAAACACACAGGAAAATGGTAATTGCGATTCAGACCGACGTGTTACCGGTGAACATGACAAAAGCTAGCGTACTGTGTGTATCCGTTATGCGCGGAGAAGAGGGCTGATTCATGGCTCGACGAGTAGTCGTGGTCGGGGTGAGGTGAGGAAAGGGCTGAGCTACCATTGACCGAGGGCAGTTGACCGTTGAGCGAAAGAGAGGACGAGGGAGCGGAGTTCATGATAGAAGTGGCACTGGAAAGGAGTGGAGAGGATGCAAGCGATTTCGGGCATGAATGGCCTGTCCTTGAGGTCAGTTTTGAGTGAGATGGCCAAGGCCACTGAGTCTAGTCAGTAGTAACGTACAGGTCAGTCCACCCTCGCATCACTCGTCGCGCTCACATTTCCTCGGGCCTGCACGCACCATGGCACATGGCGCGCGGGTTCATCGAGGGGCTGGCCCTTGTTTGCTGATGCGGAGCTGCTCGTTGAGCGCTCGATCACCGCCCTCGCGCGATCAATCTCGTCCGTTGTCGAGCTCATTGCTGGGCTCCACGCTGTGCGTCTCTGCATTGCACGGGGCGCTCCCGATCACCGCCCTCACACTGAAGCGCCGCAGCTCCACCGTTTGTAAAGATGTTAAATTAGATATATGAATTAAGAATAAAGAGAGAAAATTAAAATACGCACCGTTCGAGATAGACAACAGCGTCCACAGCTAGCACTCGTGCTCCGCGTCGTGCATCGCTGCAGCGCGCAGCCGCTCTCGAGCGCCCAGGCGCGCGAATCTCGCGCTCGAGGTCCTGTAGCTCCTCCTCGAGCTCCTTTGTGCACGCGCGGACGCCTGCGTCGCCCCGGCGCTTCATCGCGCAGCGCTCCCAGTGTCGGCCCCCTCGCGCGTCGCCCTGGCGCTCGAGCACTGTGATGTGAGGTTGGGGTCCCCGCTCACGTCCTGCCAGCCACGCGGCCCGCGAGCAGGACCCCAGCTCAGCGTGGGTGTTCCTCGCGCGGGGCTCGTCGCCTGCTTTGGCGCCTGCGGTGCGTTTGTGGGTCTCGAGCACCGAGATCGCCTGCCGCCCTTGACAATCCGAGCGCGACTGGGGGGGGGTAGAACGGGGGCCAAGGGCTCGGGTTTGAGGGGGGACGAGGATTTTGAGGCGTTGCGGGTAGAGGGGATAGGGCAAGGGAGGGCGGCCGAGGGACTGCATGACGAGCGTAGCGAAAGCGAGGAGGACACGGCGAGAGCAGTCGGCGGCGACGCGCGGGTTACAGGCGCGGGACGGCTGACCTGTTTGCACTTATTTGCACACATGGGCGGCTGGCTATATACAGGCGCGCGCGCGGCGGCCGCGCCTCATTTCTCCCTCTTTCTCTCTCGCCCCGGTACCGCTGCCGCGGACACCGCATCTTCCGCCAGAAAAAAAAACGCGTACAGCGGATCCAAGGGGTTGACGCCAAACGGAAGCTGCCGAGCTGCAGGCTGCCGGGCTCTGCAGACATGTGCTGTGGTCAACGCATTTTCTCTGCAAGCCGGGTAGTCAGCAGTAAATCCGGCAGTGACCAGAGGCAGGCCTGGATCCCGGCATGGGGCCAGACACGCAAAAAATATGGGGACAGTGCTTCTATATAGATAATATGCCTGTACATGTTTTAAATGCCTGTCTGCTACGTGTACGAAACCAGCGGCACTATAATGACTATGCCAGGTCTCTCCCTCCTGTAACTGCCAGCAGACCTGAGAAAACACCAGTCATGCTGCCCTGGCAGTGCGAAACAACGTAACTAAACACACAGTAGCAGTTAGACTCAGCCGTAATGTGGGGAATGCGAACACTGAGGTGCTGCTATCGAAATGCGTCTGGTATAAGTGAGATTCTACGAATCTCCGGTATCACGAAGCCGAGATAATGACACATAAGAAATGACCACAAAAAACACATGAGATCAATGAAAGGAACGTCAGGGAATCGAATACAACGAAACGTAACGAACTGGCATGCAGTCAGAATATCAAATAAACGACAGGAAACATATACGAAAAGGGTATAATCACAATGTTGACATGTCCGATGTTGGCGCCTGCGTCGCAGCGTTGATGCCACCGAAATCTGGCATCGCCTGCGCTGCAACCACGATGGAGGAACACGGCCGACGTTGGGGCACCGTCGGACTGCGTGATGCCTTGTCAATTCCAACAAGTCTAGCCCCTGACCGAAGTCGTTTCGCACTGCCTGGGCCAGCAGGAACAGCCTCGGACTGGCTTTCTTCTGGCTTCCTTTTCTTTCTGCGAGGTTTGGGTATATGTTTTCGTGGTAGTGGCGGGCACTCGGTAACCTCGCCAGCGATTGCGGTCGGGACAGTATCATCAGGTGTCCCTGAGAACTGGCTACCTACCTATTGTAAACCCAGTCAGCTTCTGCCTAATATTAATTAAACTGATACCTGTTACCTCGAGCTCATCTTCGTGCTCAACACGGTATTCTTTCCAGTGAGAAGGAACACCAGCATATGGACTCCAGTTATCTTGATGGCGACCAATATCCCAACCCCACTGCTCATTACCAGCGACTCCGGCTTCAGGAGAGTCAGTAAACATTCTCTGCTCTAGGAGATGCAGACATTCCCAGTCGACGTCTACCTGGCGAAGCTGTGCTTCAACACCCTGGAGACGGGCCTTGAGCAGATGCTCCCATGCTACAGTTAAAATGTCCTGGGTTTCAACTATTTCAGCATTTGACGGAATTGTACCCGCCAGTCGGGTAGCATATACAATGGCAGAAGCATGCGAGTGGGGCCAATGATTATGCCATGGCCATGCAATGCCCGAAGCTGAACCAGGAACATTAAGGAGGATCCAGCGGGCAATCTGTGCTGCATCACTAGCAGTAAGCAGGCCACCAAAAACAGGGGGCCTTTCTTGAGGGTTTTTAGCTGAATACTGAGCAGCCAACGAGTGAGGAAAATGTTCTGGATATTCCAGCCTGTTGACCATATTGGTGAGCATGCCCAGGTGTGGCAGCAAAGCACTGGCAATAGCCACACTTGGACAGGAAATAGGACTTGTGAATGATGCAAGAGTTTCTTCAATGCTGGCCGACATTGCTGATTCCCATGAATGCTGCCATTTTCCAAGCTGTAACCAGCAAAAATAAATTAGTAATGTAATCCTTCATTCATAATATATTAACAATATTTAATTACCTTTATCTGTCGACGTGCTTTTGCATCATTCCATAAAGCATCTACCAGATCATCAAGAAGGACAGGTCGTGCAAGGTCTTGAGGTGACCGGGGAGACGTGTAGTGATTTCCTCGCCACCACTTTACAAAGAAATAAGCCTTGCCCAGCAGGTTTTCAGTGTCAACAATGCGGACCGGATACCAAAATTTGCCAAAGCGGGCAAGACCCCCTTTACCTGGTCTGATAATCCCACAGTTCAGCTTTGTTGAATTACTTATTTTTCTTGTCACTTACTTGAGGCGAGCTGCCAGAACTTGCTGGGCACGGATAGCACAAAGCGGCCTGTCATACATGAGTCAGCCATCAGCAGGTCGCAAAATTTCAGTCTACCTTTCAGGTTTAGCCCCCATGAGCTCTCGGATAGTGGTCGCACTGCACGTATCACATTCAAATTTGGCCCGTGGCCCCAGATCACTTGCCTGTCCATCGTACTGACAGGCAAGATGCGACCAGTTTTGGCAAGTGTCACAGAAAATAGCCCGTTCGGCGATTCAAAGAATATGACCATTTCCACGAATGCCGCAGCGGCAGTCCACTGGAAAAGGCTCGTTTGCAGGGGGGCTACCAGGAAATTGAACGAAAGGATTGAGAGAACTGCCTTTGTCAGTTTGACTCGGAACAGGTGTTTCTGGCTGAGACTCGGAGGGTACGATTTGAATAGCAGTTTCAGTGTTGCTGTGAACCGAATGTTCAGACATAGGAGATTCCACCCGCACAGCTTTTTTGCGCCGAGATGGAATGGCCCGAGCTGAGCTGAATACCTTCGTGAATGGAGGCTCAACAGGAGACACAGGTTTATTTGATGGAGTTGCGGGCTGGCCTGATGGTCGCTGAAACTTGTAGTACTCGAGGTTTTTGCCTAATTTTGACCAGAAGATACTACTGTTGTCCACAGGGAGCAGGTGCTCATCTACCATGTGCAGAGCCCGAGGTATTGATTCCTGCCCAGCTGTCAGTGAACTGGTAGGAACAAGTGGCACAATGCTGTATGTTTTCTGTAATTCTGCCAGCTGGTGCCGGGTAAAGTGACGCTGCGCCTCGGTGCCTCCTTCAAGGTGATAGAGGACAAGGGATGTTGAGACCGAAGGTGGAAGACCAAGATTTTTGTGAGTTCCAGCAAGATGACTCCCTACCGAAGATCGGGCAATCACATAAGCATGTCCCTTGTCTTTGCCATCATACGAGTAGATGTGTTGACGATCAGATGTCACACCACGAGCACTGAAATGAGAGGTTTCTGCATCGTAAAATGCCCGGCCCACAAGTCGGTACACCAGCTGGTGCGATTTCTCTTTCGCCAGAGTGAGAGGCCGTAGGATATCTGGAATGTCCCATTCTGGCGACCCAGGATATTCGGAGCGTGAGGCAATAGTTTCATCCACTTCAATAATAAAGACCACTGGAAGATGAGTATAAATGTCGTGAACATACGATGTTCCACAACATCCGCTATTACTGTGTATGTCTGACCCCGAGTCGCCTAAAGGCTGACACCAGCATTGGCTGCGCTGGTCCTTGCTGGGCCTGGAAAACTTCGTCTTGAACCATTCAGTAACAAGTCCATTATATCTGCTTGCGAGTGGACGTGTGAGCTGGTAGTAGAATGAAGTTTGTGGAACTGATGCAAATTGCCAGTGCTCTTTCTGAAGAGATACACAGGCATGTGACGGGGTTCCTGTGCACGATCGCACTGTGACACAGTGAGTCTAGAAGTATGCGTGCATAAACTGTAGCGGATCCTTGCGAGGAATGTTCAGAAGCGAACCAAGCCATCCCTGTATAGTTTATGGTTAGATTATGAATACAATAGAGATATTGAATTGACAGTAGTACTAACAGAAAGGGATCCAAAGGCATTCATAGATGATGACTCTGTGCATCCTAGACTGACTAGATCTCGCCGAAAACCATCTTGCAGAAGTCGCAGAATTTCGATTTGGCCTTCTATGGATAGTGTAGTAGTGTCCATGGTAACACGTTGGTGGATCACCCGACCAAGTGTATGCAAAGGGTGGGTACTGTCTAGAGCCTGGAAACGGGGATAAAAGCTAGCCCAATAGTCCCAAAAAGTTGCACAGGAGATAAGTTCAAGCATTGTGTCCAGCCAGCAGGAGTTATCAAACCATGGAAATGATGACTGTCGGTGTTCGTTTGTCTGTGATGGAGGGTGTGCAGCAAGATGAACTTTTTTTTGCAGAGATACTGATATCGTGTTGCCAGCAAACCCCGTGGCCAGGCGATCAAGAGCTTTTTGGACCCAGTCCTTCTGACTGCTTTTGTGAAGCTGTGCAGCTGTATCTGGTGGCGCGTAATCAGAGCGATCATAGTGCTGATGTGCAGTCGGTGCTCGGTCTGGCTTTGAATGACCATGCTTGGCTTGGTTTTTCAATGACCTCTGAGTGGGCTGATACTCTGTCAATATGCCACCTTTGACGAATGAGTCAGCAGCTAGTAATGGGTTTTGACGGAGAAGTCTAGGACTTACTTGCACGAGCATGAGCCTGGTGTTCCTCGCGAGCAATAAATGCTCGCAGTGACTGAAAGCCAGAAATAAGCTCGTGATCCTTGCCGATGTGAGCATACATCTTGTGGTGCATTGCCTCCTGTGCATTCGTAGTATCCTGCAGCCAATCCCATATCTCCTCAGGCATTTTGGTATCCTTGCGAAAGAGCATAGCAGCACGATCTGGGTGTAGCCACCAGAGAAGCCATTCAGTTGTATCAGGGAACTTGTCTGTAATAGCTTGGACGACTTTCCGAAACTCCTCGCCATCGTGAATATGAATAAGGCTTTTTGTACGCTCTTCAAACCGCTGAGGATTTGACTTGACAACACAGCCAATGCGGCGAACACGCTCCACTGATGCACAAAAATGTTGCTGACACCCCTTGAGTAGCAGTTTTGCAGTGTTCTGTAATTCTGCCTCAGAACGTGAATCGTATCTGTGTGCTCTCCAAAATTCAGTGAAAGCTCAGATAAAGCCATTACGCTCAGCCTGGCTAAAGTCAACAACCTAAAATACTGTGAGTAAGTTTTCCTAAGCAGAAATTAGGTGCAGCATACATTGGCAAACATGTCATCGGTAACATGCATATTGCGCTGGGTGAGCTCAATATCCATAGTGTGGAAGAGCGCAGAGAAATGATGTTTATAGTGTTCGGCAGTAGTTCCATTAGCCCAGGTGATGATGACAGGAATCCAGTGAGAAAGATCCTCAGAGTAGACTGAACTCGTTATAAGGACCGAGTTGCGATCAGCCCAAAAACCATGTGCGGCATCAGTCACAATTCCCCCTTCAAGTTCCTGAACTAGATGTGATCGCATGAATGCAGATTGGCATATAATGACAGATATGTCAGGCCCAAGCTTGGTAAAATCGTCGAGGATAAAACCCGGGTATTTATTTTGAAACTCGGTCCATGCTCGCTCGAAAGGCATCTTGAGGGAATTCTTCAGTTTTTGCTTCTCGTAAGCAACTCGCTGGGGATTTTCCAGGACAGAAGAGATAACAGCAACCGAATCCCGTGGGCCAGACAAGCCTCTGCGTCCTGTGACAAGCTCTGAGGGTCCAGCCATAGGGTGTTCTTCAATAACAGTATGGATCTGTGTTTCTTCGTCTGGTGTGAGATGCAAAAGACGGGGAATGCGAGGATGGGTATGGAAACCAGAGTTCATCACATGAGCACCATGCTTGTACTTGTATATGCGAAGCATAACACCACACGGTTCATGCTTCAGAGTGCATTTCTTGCAGTTGAGACATGGAGTGGATGATGCCTGGTTCTGGATGGTCCTGATAGTGTCGGCGAGGGGGCGGAGGGTGTATGGACATTTTGGAGTAGTGCAAGAGATAATTCCATTACATCTACGACGCTTTACAGCACCTTGTTCCCATGTGTCAGCATCCACTGAGCCTTTGTGACCCTTGGGAGTACCATATGCAGTACAAGGCCAGTGCACCATGAGCTTTTTGGTATGAGGATCTTCAGTATCTGCACCTGTGAGGTCCATCGCCCATTCGCCATCGGGCCAGAAGCTCCAGTACCGTCCACTAGGGAGACAAACACTCTCGCTGTCGGAGGTAACACGAGTTGGACCTGACTTGCGAGTAACAGCATTTGGTTCTTGGGAATTGTTAGTGCGAGCGAGCACAGTAGTTGGGGCAGCAGAAGTTGTTTTAGCCATCAGAGGATGTGTTTTAGGAGGCTGAAAGGTTTGGGATACAGGCGCTGGCTTCGCTGATGTCTGACAACTGCATGTCTGGCCTATAGTATGTACAGGTGCAGTTGGCTGCATAGGGCAGGTGGGTATAATAGCAGGCATGAGACCTGAGGTGGGGTACTGTGGGCGAGGGGTAGAGCCAGAATAAAATTGCAGACCGGGAGCAACAGAAGATGAATGGGTATATGTAGGTGCTGAGTAGCCAGATAGAGGAGCAGCTTGTGGATATGACGAAATAGCAGGACCTTGATTTGCAGTGGTGTTGAATCCATGTAGTCGAAGATTCACTATCAAAGAATTAATGATACTAGTAATGATGCTTGCATACTTTCTACTCACAATCCAGACCAACGGGTCCTGCATTTGGCGAAGTATAGATGGGCTGAAGCGAAGGTGGTGCCGCCTCCTGCAAGAGAGGTGCGACTGGAGGGTGATTGCAATGAGGCACATGTGGGGGTAAATTTGCAGAGTGGCTGTGATTACTAGGGCTGTTGGAGGTCGGACTGGCGGAACCCTCTATAAAGGACTTTATTGATTTCTAGGAAAAAGTATGAGGATGGTGTATATAGATGATGATACAATAATTACCGGTAACATAACACTTAGTTGGGACTACGATGGATTATGTGGCAAAAGATACAATAACTGGGTTTAAAAGTCAATCACGAAGCAAGAGGATGTACAGAGCTAAACTTACTTGGACAAAAAGGATTCAGGCCGACAGGTTCATGTATCAAACACAAGAAGGCATATTGTCGGGAAGAAATCAGGACTCGAAGGGGAGTATTATAAAGTATCAAGCTATGGAGCAACGAGTATAAGTGAAAGGTGCAAGACTTTGGTTACGAGGGCTCACAAGAGATGACAGTGCGGGGCTGGACCAAAGCAAGCAGAGGGTTCCAGAGACCAGAAGGTAGAAAGACACACGACAGAGATAAAGAACCTATGCAAAAATATAAGCAGAATGGACAGGAGGTTCGAAGCGACTCACAACCTGAAAAAACGGACACAGAATAGGACCAGGAACAATGTCTGCAGAGAGATACAGAGTCGCCAAAAGCCAGAAGTAGCGACCAGGCAACAGACAGAAACGAGACTGGAATAGGTAATTAGTCAAGCCCAAGAATCAAAAACAATATCATCGTACGAGTCAAGAAAGACCTGCTATCGTTATGATAAGCCTGGGCCGAGGGACAATGATCCTGCGGGCGAGTGGAGGGCTTGTTTAGTGCTGCACGTTTCGTCAGCAAGAAGACCGGCTCACTGTTCACAACTAGAGGTGTGGGTGACAGGGTACCTATCTGATCTAATCGAGCGAGGAGCCTGTCAGTACCTGGCCTTGACGAAACTTAGTGCTGAGGAGTTCGTACAGTCATCAAGTAGCATACCTTGGGTGTGGTCCTTTAGGCAGACTAGGTATGATAGTAATGACTGTGATAGGGCCGAGATGGGAGCAAAGGAGTGACAGTGATGGGAGGGGCAGGAGATCAGTACGATGCTGCAAAGAGGGCCGACCGACTCAGTTCCTGACAGCCGACTCCTGATTCCGACTCCCGACTCCTGTGACCGACTCCGACTCCATCTGACTCTTTGCCTCTCGGGAATTCTGTGTTCATTATTTGGGATGTGTGCCACCAGTATACAGTGGCGTGCATGCAGCTAGTGTAATAGTACAAGACCAGCTTATAATATTAATTATGGGTTTCATTTTCGCTTGTGCAAGTGGCACTGGTACCGCATGTTTCAAGCCTGGTGTCACTGCGACTGCTAATACTACTATATCAGCTTAATCTTGTCTGATACACACTTCCTCCAATTTGAGAACTGCGTTGCCAGTGTCTGCGTTAAGCCATACGATTCGGCTACATTGCGTGCTTTATATAAATTTCTCTGCCACTCGCTTCTCATTTTTAACTTCAAGTTGCGTGCAGGTCCTGAGTCGGACTGAGTCCGGAGTCGGGAGTCGGGGATGCGGCGATTTTGTGTAGTCCATTCCCTGTCCGCACCCCAAACAAGCAAGTCATTCCCACTCTGCCGACGACCCAAACGTTGCACGCAGCGACGAGAGCCAGACCATCCGACTTTCACCTTCGCAATGCCGTCAGCAACAACCGCGTCCCAGCAGGAGCTCAAGGACAACAAGGTCCCTATTGCATGGCGCGACCAGTGCTCTGCGTGAGTGTCCTTGGTGCTGGATGTTTTCCGCGAATGTCCGAGCTGACCGTGCTTCTTCGCTCAACCTTCGTCCTGGATCGTGCTCTGTGGCCTGTGTCTCTGGAATGTCTCACACGCGGCACCGTATGATACGTTCGCTACGGCCGACAATATGCCACTCGTAACGCGGTATCGGACGAATGGGTTGGGACTTGGCAGCCTGCTCATCCCGCTCAACACGTGCCGCAAGCAGACCATGTACCTTCCTTGGGAGTGTAACAACGAGCGGCACACGTACGAGAAGTGCGTATATGCACTCTTGTTTTTGATATATCGATGGCTAATACGACGGTGTTTGTGCAGGTGCCAGTATGACGAGTGAGTGTCGCGTGTTTGCTTTGCTTTTGGAACTTTGTCGCTGACGGAGGTCTTGAATCTCTACAAACACATTTACCCTCTTTGTCTGCCGACCTCCGTCCGCTACTGTATCGTCTCGCATTCTCGTGGATGCCAGCCTGATGCGGCGCATGAAGAAGATGTCCAAGATCAGGCTCCAGAAGGCCGAAGAGGCAGAGGAGTAGAAGGATTCCGTCTACGTTCACTCGCATACAAGCTGTATCTTGTGCGCTCCCGTTCAATAGAGCACTATTACCAAGTCAGTGCTTTGAGACTTTAAAGTATCGCAAACACGCGTGAATGTGAATGAGTGGTGAATGTTCTATATTATATATGCGTATCTTAACATAAGCATTGCATTACCCTGCCTCACAGCATCGCAACGAGCAGGTTATGCTCTTCTGAAGAAGGGTCTACGCCAACCCACCCGTCTCAGCCCTATATGCATCCATTTCACGTGCGACGCGCTCGATGACGTCCGCAGCCTCGGTCGACTGCCCGAACGCCTCGACAAACTGCCCGCGCGGGTCCATGAGGTACACGTAGATGCTGTGGTCGACGAGGTAGTCGCCGGCGGGGTCCGCGTCGGGCGGGGTGCTGAAGTAGACGCGGTAGGCTTTGCATACGGCGCGCGTGTCGGCGTAGGAGCCGACGAGGCCGACGATGGAGGGGTGGAAGTCGGCGAGGTAGGTGCGTAGCTGGGCGGGGGTGTCGCGTGCGGGGTCGACGGAGATGAAGAGCGGGAGGAGGGAGGCGGTTGGGTGGGATTTTTCTGGGGGTGTGGTGAGGTGGTATTTAGGAAAGGAGGGGGAGGGCGTACCGAGGGAGGATAGGACGGCGGTGAGCTTGTCGAGCTCGGCGGGGCAGATGTCGGGGCAGTTGGAGAAGCCGAAGTAGACAAAGGACCATTTGCCGAGCAGGTCTGCGTCCGTGAGCGTGCGCCCGTCGTGCGTCTGGAGCTTGAACGGTCCGCCGACTTGTGGGCGGCCGACAGACCGCGACTCCATTTCTTTTTCTGTGGGTCATGGGACGTCGGGGACACGGTACAATGAGAAGAGGTCAGCGGGATGGAAGAGAGGAGAAAGGTATAGTACACACGACGCTTCTCGAGGAGCTGCTGCTTTTCATGCCGGAAGTAGACGAACAGGCCCGCGCCCGTTGCAACGAACAGCGCTGCTGCCGTCGGCGTGAAGACCTACAGCGTTGGCGCGGCAAGTTCAGTATAGGATTCCAATGATGCATCCGAGCGAGACGCGCACCCCCACGGCCGTTCTGTCCTGCGTGTTAGACGAGCGCCAGTCTGCGTATCCGCGTCGCGCTACTGCGCGCGTCGACGACGGCACCGACGAGCGGCATGGCTGAGTGGTGCGGCGGAGGACGGCGCGTACGGGAGATTGGAGAGACTGACGGATCGGGAGAAGGGACATGACGGGACGGAGGAAGTTGGGAGACAGGGGCGTTTGGAGTACAAACATTGTAAATTAATTCCGAAATACCCAGAAAATCAACCAAAATCCCTCGAGAGCATCGTCGCGCGCGTTGTCCTCGCTGCTATTCATCAACTCCCACTCAAAACATCGACAAAACCATGCCAGTGCACTCGAAACATATCCCTAACTATCCCGAGCCCCTCCCCAACTACACTGAGGAAGAACTCCAGGCCACGTCAAACGAAAGGTTCAGAGAGTGGCACGCAACTTTTCGCCAGCACTGTGCAAATGCCGACGACTACTGGAATGCTGTTTTTGTTGCCGGATACGACGAGATGGCCGCAGCGATCGTGAGGGCTTTCCTGATAGTCTCAGTGAGTTTCTCTTGTACGACCCCACCCGTGCTCTCGCCAATGGAGCTGCAACTGCTGTGACACCCACCAATACTACTGAGAGGTCGGTCGCCAATGAAGCTGGAGCCGACGAAACTGCCAAAGGTCGGAGATCAGGCCAACACCGTGACAACTATTTCCTTACCTCTGCTCGTCTCCTCAGAGCGGCTTGTGCTCCGCATCCCCTCACTCTCAACCAGGAAATGGATGCACGGGAACTTGAGGATGGACAACCAGGACACCGGTACAGCACCCCACTTTCCCAAGCCCATCTCTGGAACCCTCCCGGAGGCTAAGAACGACAATCAACAATTTCATCGAGGTATAGTTCGGGCTCTCGAGAAGGAGCTGTCTGAGGTTCTCTTTGACATCTTCATTGAGTGCAGCTGGACATCTGCAGAGCTCACGAGCTGATGCAAGCGATCCCTTTTCATCGATGCTGTTGAACCATCGGGATATACTCTTCTCAGACACGTTGAGAATGCGAGCGACCTCCTCGTGTTCGTGGCCTTGCGCTATAAGGCACAATGCACGAATCTTGATATCTTCACTAGTTGTTCGGTAGACCATAGTGCTATTGTTTCGATTTGAGAGGATAATGAGGTGTTATGGCCGTCAGACGGCGGACGACGTTTCACGACGACACGTTCAGCGCATTCCCGCAATTTTTCGGGATTAATTTGCATTATTTGGCCTACTTTACTCCCGGACAAGCTTTTCCGGATCGGCTGTACTAGAACATTTATGCCATGACGCCTTTGGACGCGACCGAGCTGATGACAATGTTGTCGATGATCGCATGTTCTGCGTCCACGTTAGCTGCTTTCTTGACAGCTGGTTCCGTATTCAATTTGTTATACTGAGCATATACTGACTAAGTCCTCTTGCTCCACCAAATCTGAACGTGAATGCAGAACTCACCTTCTTGACGGCTTGCCAATCCACAAGCTCCGCGAGGGTGCTCAGCGGGACCACCCTACCTTCAACGACGCCTCTCATCCTCTCTTCGACGTCTCCGACGCTAGCGGAGTCCACGCGCACGACAAAGAGGGCCTTGGAGGTGTCAGAGATGCCGTATCTGCGGATTGCCTCGCTGATCTGATTGTACAGATGAACTTGTGAGCATCTGGTTTGGGTATATGCGTGTGGGGTGTAGACGTACATTATTTGTCGGACAAAGAGCCCACAGGATCTCGGAGTGGACGGTCTTTGTCCGTAGTGTGTTCTGTGCTGCTGCTAGTGAGGCTTGGCTGATTGCAGTCTGGAGGTGGAGCGCGCTTGTTATCTACAAGGAGGTGTGGGATTGGGTTTGTCCGTTGTATAGAGACGAAGAGCGATAGTGGCATGGGTGTTTTGTCGTCGACAGGATTATAGATGGTCATAGGGTAGTCGTATGAATTCATAATGAACAAGCTAGCCGCTGGGATAGATCCGGGAGAGTGGACTGACGAGGCTGGCATCGACGAACGCAAAGTTGAGGGCCTCGCGCTCTGCGTCGCCCTCGGGGCCGGTGAGGGTGGCGGCACGTACGATGCGTGCTTTGAGTGCGGCGGCGTTGAACACGTCAATGAAGAGGGCAACGTGTACGGCTGTGAGGTCGGATGGGAATTGGGGCTGGTGTATTGTCTCCATTGTGCTTAAGGTTGTCGTCGCAGACTCGCAGTAACAGGGGCTTCAATCATTGAAATTTGAAATTTGAAAGTCAGACCACGTGTCCTGACAGATTGCGTTCACGCGTCTCGGCGCGTTCCTCAGTCACGCACCCCGACCTACTTTGTACCAACATGTCCAACTGATGTACGGGTACGTGCGGCATGTAAGTCCTATGTACTTTGATTAATCAAAGATTCACTGCCGATATGCGTGCACTTAAGAGGTACTTCGACACTTTATTGGAAACGAGCTCCTCAACAGCCCCTCGGACCCCACCTAATGGAAAGGGCATCTACTCCGCGCGTTCCATTTATCAAGATTAGTTGTCAAATGTCATTCCACATATTGTTATACATTGGTCAGACGACCAGCAATGACCAGATACCATCGAATAGAACGAGAGGGCTACTAGTCGACATTCACCATAGGATGCAAATTCGGAAACAGAGCCGTCTCGGAAACAGCCCTCCATCGGAGATCTTCCCTCTTGAGCGCACACGTCTCTTGCTTGTCCTCGGGGAGAAGACTTTTGGCAGTCGTGAGGAAATGCCGAAGACGTTTCTTGTCCTTGTCAAACAACGGCCAGCATTCTCGGACGGCTTTCTCGCAGGTCCGACCTGTCGGTATGAAGAAGTACGTCCTGAAGTCGCCCGTTTCTCTAGATTGCGCGACAAACCCTTCAATATATAGGCAGTGAGTCTACTGCAGCTGAGGTCACAGGGCCAGGGACTCACAGTACAAGAACTCGAGCTGTATTCCCTTGCGTAGTGCCTCGCTCTGAACGCGCTCCATTCTTGTGTAGTAGGCGCCCACACGGCGCTCTGGGTTGGGGTCTGTAGGCTGGAGCGGGGGAAGATCGTATTTGCTGAAGTTGAAGGCGTTGAGGTACCTTCTCAGGGCATCCATGTCGACGACGAAGCCACGCGCGTATATTTTACCCGGCATCTAGTCCTTTATTTAGTCAGCATACTGCCTTGTGCTATGCACGGGGAAAGAGACGTACGTTTACAGGAGGAGAAAGAGATGGAGGGTATAACGACAAAAGAATAGAGCTTTTAAACTTGGTAGGGACAATAAGAAGAGCCTCTACTGAGTTTAGGCGTTGACAATGGTTTGGATGAGAACAACGTCACAATAAGTGAACTACACGTGACTTTCCCAATCTGATCTTTCAATTTCAGACTCCGTCGAGGCCGCGCTTCGCTTCAGCATTTGAAATTTGAATTTGAACGTCGAACGTAACGCTCGCCGTATACTTAGTACTTTCTGCCAACTTCCACATTTTTTGGCCCAATTACGCTTCTGATTACGGTCACAAATTCAACATCCCAGCCCTTTCAACGATTCTGGCAGCATGCTCCAGCTCAAAGGCTGCCCGATGCTCATCAAACACATCAAGCGGTTTCAAAGGGGCTATTAGGTTTACTTGAAGATCACGAACCTTGACCAGTGATCACAAAAGCTTATTGTTCGACCGCTGTATCCCTTCAACTCCGTGGTCTTGCTAAAACCTCCAGTGCCATGCAGTGCAGAACAATGAGCTTTACGGCCTTTTGTTTTTCTTTTATCTCCCTTGTATTGTTCTTCCTCGTCGTATTGTTTTAGCTTGTGGCACTCTAATGGGATTGCAGGACACAAATAGCTCGCTCTGTGCACCTCATCACTGCTCTCAGCATCTGACGCATGGTCGAATATTGCTGCTTTGAGAGCTATTGTCTCTTGAAAGCCAAAGAAGGTGCGAACTATTGTTGGCACTACGACTAATTGTCTTTGCCCGACGTCTTCGCTTGCTTATTTCCGCATATAAATGTTCCATTAGCCATCGCTAACTCTGCAGCGAGTCCCGTACACTTTCATCCCCACCTATCTGCTCCCGTGCTTTCTCTGAAACTCGCTGCACCCTAAAGGCAACTTACAACCTGGTTTTCCCTCTCTTGCTCACGTGAGTCTAATATGTCATGGAGGGGATACACTGTTTGTGTCGATTGATCTACCCACCTTCAGCACAGCGACCATCGATGTCTCAACAGGCACAACCCCACAGTTTCGACCCGAATGACGAGAAGGTGTTTGATAGTGTACGGGCTTGCATCGAGGATTGGCAAGATCGTGTACCATCCACGCAGTTCAAGCAGTATGGACCGATCGACAGATACCTGAATCTCAAGTTTTCGCGAGAGGAGCATATTATCAAGCCTCAAGCGCTCTTCCGAAAGTCGCTTAAAGAGTGGGAAGCTGCACAGCGCGAAGCACATGCGGATGACGAAGATGACGAAGAGTACCTCGTTTACACTGAGGCGGAATATTTGCGAGATATTGCTGGCCTTGAGACGCATGCTGATGGTAAGTTGGACAACTCAGATCCAAATGGAAATGTTGGTGCTCATGGTGCGCCTGCAGAAAACGCTACACCGTCTGGCCCCCGGGACGCGTTTCTGAAGGTAATGGAGGACATTAGCCTCCATAAGGAGGATTATGATACCGATGACGATGAGCTGATAGACCCAACTTGGGTGGAACGGGTGGAGGATGTCGTAGATGTCTTGATGGAGGCCGCTGACGTGAGCTTCGACTCGACGTCCAACAGTTCGTCTTTCTTGCACCTATAAGGCTGGCCGAAGCTGACTGACAACGTAGATCCGGTTGTTACCGGCAAGGATGGCACGAAGTTCCCGGACTTCGTCGTGTGTTCCTTCTACCGACCGCGCAGAAACCTCAAGGATAAAGTCCGTGTCGTAATGGAGATCGCCTCAGCAGGCAAGAGCGAGAAAGAGAAGGAGCAGACAAAGAAACTTGTCATGCAACAGTTGCTCAGGTACATGTACCGACTTGGACCGAACGGCGACCGATGGAAAGACCAAGCCGTGGGTATTGCTGTGGTTGGGACGGAGGTCGCCTTCTACGATGCCATTGTTGACGAGAATGGGGAGGACGAGTGGGAGCATTTTAATTCATCCTGGTACAGTTTATATGGTCAGGAGTTCCTTGATCGCATTAATAGCGCTACAAGCTGGCGTGCTCACGAGTGAAATTGTTCGCAATAGTGGATCGTGTTTAAATTTTCAATCATGTATGAATATATCAATAAATACCGACCGTTGGAAGTTTTGCTTTGGCATTCACATCGAACCCAGCAACAAACGGCAAAATCACTGCTGCTGACTCGACCACTGGCACCGTTACCCATAATGATCGCGTTCATGCGTCTCGGCGCGTTCTTGCAACCCATTGACTCGTCTTGAATCTATTGCTCTCGCTGTCCTGGCCGGTCGTGCCCCTTTTTTTCAAAGTGTCCTCTTGCTCCCGCCAAGTCTCATAACAGATCAATCTATGCAGTTTACAACCACACACGATTACGCCTATAGCCAACCTATCTGAGCGTATTCGAGGCCACTGCAAACGAAATGAAGAACAAATATGCAGACATACCCATAGAATCCACGGTTGCCTATGTCTCGCACCCCAGCAGTCTGCGACCGCGAGTACAACACCATTCGTTCCAACTCATAGACACCATCGGCAGACTTGAAATAGCTATGTACGATCCTTTCGTGCGTTTTTCTTATCATCAGTCTGTGGATTGATTAGCTTGAGGAACCTCGAGATTTGTGCTATGAAACCCTTTATGAAAGACGGCTGGGCTATGATCAATTCGCCAGTGTTGTCCGACTGCCGCGAACCCAAGGAGCTCTTCTTACGCGACGAGGTTAAGCCCGACATATCCATTAACAACTCCACGCCTAGCGACCTCGAGAAAACCGACTTCAGGACAATAGACCTGGTCGTGGAGTGTAAAATGTTATCCTTCGAAGGCGAACCTTTTCTATACATGGGAGAGTCCAATGGGCCAGCTTGCAACGTATGCGAACGCTGTCAAGTCCTGTCAGCAGCAGACGTGCGGTTTCAGCGTTTATGTCATATAGGAGAGCTCATGAACGCGACACGCACGCGTATTTAAAACCCCAGGGTTCCAAATACATTCCTGACATTCTAGCTGCACGCGACGTACCTGGCTAGATGTGTACCAGCTAGTATATGAGAGTTTGTCAACGCCATCACTTACGCGTTTCCAGGTGGGTTCTCCGCGTCTCCCGCTCCTTCTACAAACCAAAGATATATGGTATAGTGCTCATTTGGTCTCTATCTTGAACTTAGTGGGGACATTTCAAATCACACGCTATGTAATGTTGGGACACTCGGAAGACCAGTGGAAACAAAGCGCGAGAACTAGTCAACGTTCACCATGGGGTGCAAATTCGGAAACAAAGCCGTCTCGGGAACAGCCCTCCATCGGAGATCCTCTCTCTTGAGTGCACACGTCTCTTGCTTGTCCTCGGGGAGAAGACTGCGTGCAGTTGTGAGGAAATGTTTAAGACGTTTCTTGTCCTTGTCAAACAGCGGCCAGCATTCTCGGACGGCTTTCTCGCAGGTCCGACCCGTTGGTATGAAGAAATACGTCCTGAAGTCGCCCGTTTCTTTAGATTGGGCGACGAACCCTTCAAAATGTGGGCAGTGAGTCTGCTGCAGCTGAGGATACAGGGCCAGTGACTCACAGTACAGGAACTCGAGCTGTATTCCCTTAGGCAGTACCTCCCTCTGAACGCGCTCCATCCTTGACCAGTAAGCGCCCACGCGGCCCTCTGGATTGGGGTCCGTGGGTTGGAGCGGGGGAAGATCGTATTTGCTGAAGTTGAAGGCGTTGAGGTACCTTCTCAGGGCATCCATGTCGACGACGAAGCCACGCGCGTATATTTTACCCGGCATCTAGTCTGTCATTTAGTCAGCATACCGCTTTGTGTTATCCGCACAGAAAGAAACGTACGTCCACAGGAAGAGAAAGGGATAGAGGGTATAGCGGCAAAAGAAGAAAGCTTTCAACTTGGAAGGGACAATAAGAAGAGCGATGGAATTTACGCGCTGAGACGCGTCGATCGGAACGCCAATAAAATGGACACGTGGTCTAGTTTCGTCCTCGTGCACATCGACGTCAAAGGCGTTCGCCGTTGATACAACGTTGATAATATACGAATACACAGGTACTAAGTCAAACAACGTCAGTCGTGGCTCGTTCTCATCGCCTTGGTTGTCTGCTATAATGAATGTTGATAGATGGAGCGGGAGTACGGCAAATATAGCTCGATACATACCCAACCGTTTGCATGGCTCGGGAGAGTCGCTGTCAACATCGGAAGTGACACAGAATGAGCAAGTTGCTCACTAATTTGAATAAATGATAGACAAGGATCATAATGTCCTGTCACGAGTCAAAATGTCGACAATCGCTTCCTCCACCTTTGCAAAGCCGTCCTGCGACAGCATGTCCAAGGTCCCACTCTCCGGCGAGGAATGTCGGCGGGAGAACATATATCGGGTCTGGGCGTGGAATAGGAGGGGGATGTACGGCATAGGACGTTGTGTCGCCGCAGTAGATACGCATGGAAGTGCCTTAGAGGCTGAGGCCCTAAAGGCGAGGGTTGGGACATTCGTTGAGCATCCAGGCATACCAACTGCCCATCTGCTTGTCCGCGCGATCGTGTTATTCTGCTTTATGGGCCTGGCTGTCGTCCTTGATTTCGGCGATGAAGACCGGTCTGGGATTCTGGTCGAGGACAACGAGGAAGACGGTGGAGTCGACCGTGGCACGGCTACCGTCATTGGGGGGGACGTGCGGTGGGACGTGGATCAAAGGGGTCCCCGAAGCAGTAGTTCAAGAGTTTGCCGTAGGGTCCATAACAACGATCCTCGAACGGCATGTTCCTGGCGCATGCATAGTCGAAAATGGGGAGCAAGCCGCGAGACCAAGCATTGTCTTGTTCGAATGGCATGGCTGAGATATTGGTGGTTAAATCCCGAATACGTTACAGTATGAGCTACCTGAGGACAGCAGAAGGTGGTGGTAGACGAGTGCGGGAGGAGATAGGGGCTAATAAGGGCCTTGCCGAGACGGGTAAGCCAGTGCTTGTTATTCATCACCGACCACGTAACTCTCCTTTTCCCTCATCGTTCTCGACAGCGACAACGATGAGAGGTCTCAGTTCCTTCTTGAGCCTTCCCAGTGCACTCTCTGCACTCGTCGCCGTTCTCGCGCTGCAGGCAGCCGCAGCACCCGTCGCTGCCAACACCATCCTCACCCCCGCAAACTTCAAGGACACCATAGCTAATGGCGTTTGGTGCGTTTACTGTGTTGATTATGATGCTTAGGAGAGGCTTATGTGCGATGATAACTACAGGTTCGTCGAGCACTTTTCACCATACTGCCCTCACTGCCGACATTTTGCTCCGACATGGGATACACTCGTACAACACTATGCTTCTGAACTGGATCCGGGCGTGAGCCTCGCCCAAGTCGACTGTTCTCTCAACGGAGGTGCGTGACTATTACATGAGATCAGGGGCAGCAGTTTGCTTAATGTGCTGTGCACAGATCTCTGCGCGGACAACGGTATCAAGGGCTACCCGCAGCTGAACCTCTACAAGGATGGCCAATTCGTCAAGACGTACAGGAAAGACCGCGAGCTCAACCTCCTCGTCGAGTTTCTCGACGGCTATGCTGAGCAGACCGGCTCGCCCGACGAGCTCGCCATCGTTATACCGCCCACCGACACCCCCGCTGCAGACACAGCAGCTGTGCCCGAGTCTGACCCTGTGCCCGCATCAAGCGCCGCCGCCGAGGCCGACGGGGCTGTGGCGCCGACGTCGACGCTGCCCCCCGCTGTCCGCGTGCAGACCCCCCAGGGACGCTCAAACGCGAACCCAAAGGGCGAGGTCGTCGCGCTCACGCCGGCGACGTTCGATGCGTTTCGCGCGCAGGGCCCGATGTTCGTCAAGTTCTATGCGCCGTGGTGCGGGCACTGCAAGAAGCTCGCGCCGACGTGGGTGCAGCTGGCGCGGCACGAGCAGGGCGTGATGAATGTGGCGGAGGTGAACTGCGAGGAGAATAAGGCGCTGTGTGCGAGGGAGAAGGTGGAGATGTTTCCGGTGATTAAGTTTTATGCGGGCGGGGTGGTTACGGATTATGCGGGCGGGAGGGGGTATCAGCAGCTTGTGGCGTTTGCGGATAAGGCGGGCAAGCCGAGTATGGTGCCGGTGAGCGCGGAAGAGCTTGCGGCGCATGTTGCGGAGGAGCCGGTGGTGTATTTGTTCTTGCATAAAGGGACGGATCAGGATGCGTTGGTGCGTTGGTGCGGCTTTCGTCATCGCCGAGTTCGTGTTCACCCGTTCATCGCAGGACACCGTCGCGCAGGAGTCACAGTCCCTTTTCGGCAACCCGCGCGTGTTCACATCGACGGACGCCTCGCTCTTCGCGCACTACGGGCTCCCCCCCGCGGCGCCCTGGGCGCTCGTCGCCTTTGCGGACGGCGACGCCGCGCCCGTCGCGACGTTTGCGCCGTCGTACGGCTCGTCGTCGACACAGACAGCGGGCGTGGCGGCGTGGCTGCAGGCGCATAGGCTGCCGAGCGCGCTCGAGCTGAGCAAGGACACGTTTGCGGGTGTGATGCGGGCGCCGCAGAAGCCGCTGGTGGTGCTTGCTGCGGTGCCTGCGGGGCAGGAGGAGGAGGTGAGGCAGAGGGTGGTGGAGCTGGGGAAGAAGTGGCGCGCGAAGCGCAAGTATGCCGGCGGTGATGGCGAGGTGGAGGGGCAGGGGCAGAGGGATGTGGTGTTTGCGTGGATGAAGTTTGAGGAGGGGGAGAAGTGGCTGAAGGGGATGTATGGGCTGAAGCCTGGGGCCGAGGCTGGGGTGGTTATCACGGATCATAGTGTGAGTCTTGTCCGCATCTCTTCGGCGGGGAGGAGCATGAGAACTCATATGTCTGAGTAGAAAATGCTGTACTACGACGTGGACATGTCGGGTGACAAGCTTGCGTTGCAGTCTGCGGTGCTCTTCCCCGTCATCGACGCCGTAATGGAGGGCGCGCTCCCGCCGAAGCACTCGGAGAACCGGATCGAGCGGTTCATACGCGTACGCCTCTTTTCTTCGGTTTCACGCCGCGGTAGTTTGCTGACGGGGACAATCATGTAGTTCCTGAACGACCAGATGATCGCGCTCGAGTTCGCGGTCGTGCACCATCCGTACTGGACGGCGCTTTTTGGTCTCGGCTTTGTCGTGTTCCTGGTGTCGATGCTGCGCCGGCTGTTTAACGAGGATCTTGGCCATCCGCGTGACTATCACAGGCTCGGGAAAGAGGGGCGGCTCGATTGAGCTGCGTGCCGTGCAGTGCTGGTGCTGGTGCGAGGACGTGCTAGTGCTACGTGCCGTCGTAGTGAGCATGTCGTCTTGCTTACCGAGTGTGAGCCTATGCCGCGTCCGAGCGCGATTGTCTTCTGTCAATGGGTCTATGGGATGGACATCTCTTCTCTTTCTGTTCGTTACTCAAAAGCTTAGCTTAGCAGTAGTACTATGGAATACGCTATCGTGTAATTTATTAGACCTGATCTTCGTCGTTTTGTTTCCCTTTTGTTACTTGCAGCGCTACTGTAGCGCTGAGCTGCTTTGACGTTGCCCGAGATCAAGCATCGCTGACTCGCTAAGCGAATGAATAGCAGGTGCCGTAACATTCATAAAGGGCCCTATCGACCCTGAGCCAAAATCACAGCGAAAACGCTGGGATCATTGTTACGGCGATTTCTGTATTCCCCAAAAAGTCTAGTGATACATGTAGATACATAGTGGTACAGTCCTTGTCTTGTCGGCGTGAGCATTGCGCGCGGTGTGGTATCGATTATATCGGTCGAATCGAATAAAGATAGAACAGAACGAAATAGGACTAGGCAGGGCAGAATAGAACAAGCGTGCAGATTAATCAGAGCAAGTAGCGGAACTGTACTTTTGGTGTGGGTCTAGGGTGTATGTATAGGTGCGAGGAATGTGGCGGTGGAAAGGGTAGGTACGGGGAACGGGGAACGGTGTACGAGGGTAACACCGTAGTGAGACGGAAGCATATCGTGAGGATCGTCAGTGATGGATAGATGGCCTGCGGGGCGCGTTATCCAGGGGAAGAGATCGTAACGGGAGATCCGAATAATGAAGCAAAGCAGAGCAAAGCAAAGCAGATCAAGACCAGGCGGACGAATCAGGCGTTCATGGCGACGACGATGGTGAAGGCGACGACGGCCAGGGCGACACCGCGTCGTCGAGCATGATACCTTTTATCCGGTTGTACACCGCGGGAGGGAAGTGTCTGCGATCAAACAAGCGTCAGTGAACTGTCAAGGTGAGGGATGAGAAGTAAGGGGGATACGCACCTCTCCTGCAGCCGTTCGAGGAGCCGCACAGCGCGATCGCGGTTCCCGCTCCCGAGCTCCGCGCGGAACATGGCCTCCCACGTCGACGGCTCGCGGTACGATGTCTCGTTCGATGCCGACGCCGGCGTGAGCACCGGCGACGCTGGTCCCGACGCTGATCCCGAACCCGATACAGAGGGCGAGGACGAATCATGCGGAACATGGTTCCCCGGCGCCGCGCGCCCGCTCGGCGGGTCCGCGAGCGCCTCGAACACGGCGCGCGCGGCGGCGAGGTCGCCGGCCGCCGCGTATCCGCGGATGAGGAGGTTCGCGATGTAGGCGGTGCGGTGCACGTGGGCGGCGTCGAGGCGCGCGAGGTACGCGGGGACGAGGTCCATGCGCTTGTGTGTGACGAGGACGTTGATGATGGCTTCGTAGGCGACTGCGTCGGGCATGGGGGAGGCGGCGGAGGCGGTGCGCGAGGAGGGGTGCGAGGCGATGGAGTCGAAGACGGAGATGGCTTTGTGGACGTCTTTGGCGACGCAGCCGTAGGCGTTCACGAGCGCGGCCCAGTGGGTACCTTGGAGTCGGATTGCGCGGTCGTTCTGCACGGTCTCGAAGACCTGTTCCATCGCGGGGAGGTCGAGCGGCTCGATCGTGCCGTATGCGTCGATGAGCAGCTGCATCATACAACACACGTCAGCGATGAGAAAAAAGTGGAAAGGGCGGCAAACACACCTTGTACGTGTGCGCAGAGGGCTGAATGCCCGCCTCGAGCAGCGCATTATAATAGTGCAACACGCGCTCGCGGTTCGGCTTCGTGTGCGTATACAGCTGCATCATCGTGTTGTACGGCGGAATGCGCGCGCGGAAGTTCGGCTGCGCCGCCATCTCGCTGAACAGCTGCTCCGCGCTCTGCGCGTCCCCGACGCGCGCGCACGCGGCGATGACCGCGCCGTACGTGATGCTCGTGGGGCGCAGGCCCAGCGCGGCCTTCATCTGCTGGAAGAGCTCGAGCGCGTGGTCCGCCTTGCGCGCCTTGGCGAGCTTGGAGATGATCGTGTTGTAGAGGTACGTGTTGGGCGTTGTCCCGGCGGCCTGCGCCTCCGCGAAGAGCGCGAGCGCGCTCGCCGTGTCGTCCGTCGTGTCGCGGACGTGCTCGATGAGCGACCCGTACGCGTCGGCGCTGGGGACGCAGCCGGCGTGGAGAATGCGCGCGCGGTGCGCGTTCGCAGAGGCGAGGTCGCCGCCGTGCGCGTGTGCGACGACCATGTGGTCCTCGATCTGCAGCCACGCGTGCGACTGCGCGACGCGCGCGCCGGCGCCCTGCTGCTGCTGCACGCGCAGCACCATCTGCGCGGTCTCGTAGAGGCTGCGCACGGCGGCGAGGTCGCCCGCGCGGCCCATGGCGCCGATGAGCCGCGCGATCGTCGACGGGTGCACGAGCTTGCCCTGCGCGAGGCCGTCCTGCAGGCGCGCGTGCGCGACGTGCGCGGAGACGCTCGGGTGGCGCGGGTGCCATTCGTCGACGTAGCGGCTGAGCGCGGGGTCGATGGACAGGCCGGATACGGGCGGGTGCATCTCCATCGCTGGCGGCGGGGGTGAGGCGCGCGGCGCGGGCGGCTGGAAGAGCGCGGCGTAGGCTTTGTCGGTGGCGAGGAAGGCGTCGACGGCGGGGCGCGGGCAGCGCGTGTAGAGGCGGTCGGAGACGTCGGAGATGACCTCCATGTGCACGCGGTGCAGCGGGACGCGGAAGTTGGAGAGGTCGGTGAGCAGCTGGAGGAGGCCGTGGTTCTGTAGGTCCGGGATGTCGAGCTGCGCGCCGGTGTAGAGCGCATCGTCGAGCGCGACGGCGGCCTGCAGGAGGAGCTGGCCCTCGTGCAGCGAGACGTGCTGGATCATGCCCTGCTCGAGCGCGCGCGTGTACGCGTGGATGATGTACGCGGCGACCTTGATGTCCTGGGGCACCGTGAGCAGGTGCGCGTGCTGCATCATGCGCGAGGCGGTCTGCCACTTGGGCGGGGTCGCGAGGGCGGCAGAGGCGATGACGGGCTCGATGAACGAGGAGGTGACGCTGCGCGCGAACGCGTTGATGTCTTGTTGCCGCTCCGAGGTGAACTGGCGGCCTACGACCTGGCGAACCCAGCTGTCCTCGTACTTGAAGAAGGCGACCATGACATCGAGAGCCTGGTCGTGCTGGCCATAGCGGACGAGATGCTCGACCGCGCGCTGCACCGAGCCCACGATGGTCTTGGGGTACAGGTTGGATTCGCGGGGCGGCACGGCGTACCTGGCGAGAAAGTCGGCGTAGGGGCGGGCGGCGTCGGCGGAGAGGTCCGGGTGGGCGGTCAGGTGGGCGACGTTGGCTTCGACGACGAGGAGGTGGTCGACAGGGCGCATGCTGAGGCCATCGCGCTCGGCGCACTCGGCGTGGACGAAGAAGAGGCGGTTGAGGTCGTCGACCATGCCCTCCTGGGCGAGCATGTCGATGATGCAGTACCATGCGATCTGGTCCGGGCGGTAGGGGACCGAGGAGGGCTCCCAGGGGTAGCGCGCGGTGCGCTCCTGCTTGAGAAGGTTGTCGAACCAGGAGAGGGCGGTGGCGGAGTCACCAGATTTGATGAAACCAGCGATGAGGGTCGTGTACGTGGACGAGGCCGGGGCGGGGACGTGAGCCGAGGACGCGTCCTTGTTTTCGTCGATCATGGTCTCGAGCAGGCGGATGGCGTTCTCGGGCTGCTTGGCGCGGCAGTAGGCCTCGATCATCTTGTTCCAGACGGTGACCTGGCTGACTGCGGGGATGTCGGCGGGGACGACTTCCTGGTTGACGGGGTCGACGGTGCGCCACATGACGCGCTCCTCCTTGCAGGCGCTGCAGAACTCCTTGAAGACCTCGAGGGCACCCTGGATGTCGTTGGCGTTGGCGTAGGTGGCAAGGATGTGCTCATAGGCAACGGAAGTGAGGACGTCGCGGCGGGACTCCATCTGGCCGAAGACGGCGAGGGCAGCGTCGATGTTGGCATGGCGGGCGCAGGTGCGGAGGAGGGAGTGGTAGACCTTGAGACCGATCTTGGGGCTACCGCCGGAGATGGTGCATGCCTGGAACATGGCCATGGCCGAGTTGAAGTTGTTCTCTGCCTTGAGCTGCTTGACACGGGCTGCGTCGGTGACGGAGACCTCGGCGAGGTCGCGACCACCGAACTCGCGGCGCTTGGCACGGGCCTCGAGGCTGACGATGGCGCGGAAGACCTCCTCGTCGCGTTCTGAGAGAGCGAGCATCATGATGTGGTACGTCCTAAAGTTGGGGTTGAGAGAGCGCTTGATCATGTTGTTGTACGTGTCGAGCATGAGGTTGAGCGGGTCACCGGGCTGGCGGATATCATAGAGGGCCTGGAGGGCGGCGTTGAAGTCCTGTACGATGTGGTTGGCCGGGGATGCAACAAGAGCTTGAACCTCGGAGATGACGCGGGCACCGTCCTTGGCCTTGACTGCGCTGTTCACGGCAGACTGGAAGGCAGTGATGGCAGTGGGCTCGAGGACAGATTGCGGGGTAGCCGGGTCAGTGGAGGAGAGCTTGGGTGTCGGAGGCGGGGAGAGCGGGAAGGGCTCTGTGACATCCTGGGCGGTGGCATGGGAAGAGGTGGAGTTGCGACGGACGAGAACCGGACGGGAAGAGTCAGCAGAGGGGGAGGCGTGGATGAGGCCTGCGCTTGTCTGCTGCTCCTGGTCCTCTGCGGGGGAGCTGGCAAAAGCGTGACGAGAGCGGACGTGCATCTGAACGGTGTGGAGAACGCCGAACGTCTCTGCGCGCTCCTGCTGACCATGGCGGGCGACCGAGAGGCTGTGGCTGCGGGGGCGAGAACGACGAGGGGTGTGGATGGAAACGTGACGCGGGATGATCTCTTCGCGCTCGTCGTCTCGGGCAGAGTTGCCGTCCTGAGCTGAAGACGCGTTTGCCTGAGTGAGAGCGCGACCGGAGTTCTGTGAGGAGAAAAAAAAGTGAGGATTTTGTTAAAACGGGGATAGAGGGAGCGACGCACAGTGTAGTACTGGAAGCGACTGCCAGCGTTGAACTTTGCACCACCCGCATTGCCCCAGCTAGAGGAGCCAGCGGTGTTCCAGGTGTTGAGAGTAGTGCCGTTTGAACCTGTTGACTGGAGAAGATTCCATATTGTCTGTGATGTCTGGTTCTGCACCGCCGCTGCCGCACGCGACGTGTGCAAGAAGAGAGAGTTGGCGACCTTGGGCAGCATGGTCGCTCGGTGGAAGAGGGCCTCTCAGCAGAGCAGAGGAGCTGAGTGGGGGAGGTGGAAGTGGTTGTGGATGAAGAGGCGCGTCGGCAGAAAATGTAGACGCGAGTCAAAATACAGTAAGCGGTGCCGGGGCTTGTGTGGTCCTCTGCCGCGAACAAGCAAATATATCATATACCCTTTCTCGGGTGGATACGGACAACACACTTCCGATGTCTCCCTACAATCGTATGTTTACCCCTTGACGAATAGAATACGACACAATGGTCACAAATTTGGGGTTCCTGTTCCTGCCCGCCCTCCGCGGAACCTCCCCTTTATGCAAGTGGCATGATCACCCGACAGCCGATTACTTGCATGAGATCAAGCAACGAGTTCGTACTGCGCACAATATACATTTTCTCTCTCTCCAACGTTGTGATCGCCACTCTACTGCCTGACTTGAATCTCCTCACGTCATCTACTCGCCTCCGAGGCGCCGAAGGACACGTAGTCTAATTCCACACCGGAGCGGTACGCATGCACAGCAATGCCACAGCAACAATCATGGGTGTACGCCGAAATCTTATCTTCCCCGGAACCAAGTCGCAGCTGGGTTTCGGCATCAGCCCAGCCGTGGGGGATAATTATCATGCTGGCCCTGGGCGCTGGGGTGACACTGGGGTGGGTCGATTAGATTGTAGGTTATGGGGAGGGGGTCAGTGATGTGTGTGTTCCGTTGGGAACAGTGTCATAGGCACAGGGAAATGGAAGCTCTGGAGGATGGAGGGCTAGAAGCATCGGTGTATTGGGATTATCCTAGGGAAGATGCCGTCCGAGTCTACGACGGGCATGAAGAGATACGTGCTATCGGGCTGTACATGTAGATGCTGCTGCTGAGATCCGTGCAACCGGGCTCGAGAAGACGCTGGGCCCAAGGGTCTGGAGTGTTGAGGCGTTCGTCTGGGGTGCGGAGGGTGTAGCTGGGACACGGAGATTACCAGCAGCGTCATTCACGGCGCAGGACAACGATCAGAATCAGAAACTACGATGTGTTATACTATGAGTCGAGCCCCCAGCGCAAGAAACTCGGCCCAGGGATAGCGCTCGGTCCCGGGCTCGTCCTCCGCCGCCTCCCCTTCCCCTTCGCCTTCTCGTTCTGAGGCCGAGCCCGAGCCCGCGTTCACGATCGAGTCCCGGCTGAGCTTGGCGCTGAACGAGCTCTCGCCGGGCCGGTGCACCAGCTGCAGCTCGACCTCCGCGTTGTCATCGGAAGAGGAGGTGGGCAGGACTGTGCCGACGGAGAGGAGCAGTTCGGGGGTGCATGTTGTGGGGTTTATGCCGAGTGCCTGGATGTTTATTTAGCGTTGCGTTTGACAAGGGTCCGTGGGGTTATCCGGGAGAAGCAATGAGATGGACGTACCTTCCAGCCGACGGTGCACCCCGCGCGGAGCTGCGCGCGCTGTGTGATCGGGGTGCAGACAGTCCAGCGTTTTTCGATGGACGCGACGTCGAGATTCGGCGTTGGCGTTGGCTTGGTCGCCGTAAGCTCAGTGAGATTGAACGAGCTCTGATCCTCGGGTGCGTCCTCGGCGGCGCCGTAGTCGAGCGTCATGGACACGTCGGGCGTCGAGACGTGGCCCCAGGTCTGCTTGAGCGTCTTTTTGCGCTTGCGGCCGACGGCGGGGCGCGTGTGTAGGCCTTCTTCGACGTCGATGCTGGTGATGAGGATGTTGGTGGGTATGTCGGTTCTTTCGGACGGCGGGATGAGGCGCGGGAGCGGCGGGGTGGTGGTGGCTTTGGCGGTTGAGAGGGGTGATTCTGAGTCTAGGATAGGCGTGGGTGTGGTTGAGCGGATATCTTCGGAGGAGAATATGATGTTTTGTGGGAAGGGGCGCGACATGGATTGTTTGAATCCCTTTTTCTTGTTTTTGTTGCGGTAGGAGAGCATCATGAGTGCGGGCGAGGACGTGGACGGGTCTGGGGGGTGGGTGTATGCATCTTCGTCCATTGCGTCTTCGAAGGCTTCTGCTTCGGCGTCGGCATGGTCGTTGGGTGTGGGGGGCTGGGCGGCGCCGCCGAGGGGGATGAGGTTTGCGTCGGAGGTGCCGGTGGGGGCGAGGGTGGGTTGGGCGTTGGTGGTGCGCTCGTGGAGGCGTTTGAGGCGGCGACGTTGGTTGCGGTTGCGGGTTGCGGGTTTGCCGTACCCTGGAGGGGTGAATGAGGTGCTGGGGGTTGATTAGGCTGGGGATAAGCGGGTAAGGTCGAGGTGAACTTACGCGGTTTGAGAGGGCGGAGGGGGAGGTGGTTGTGGTTTCTTGGATATTGGTTTGGCGCTGGTAGCAGGCGCTGTGATCGGCCTCGACCTTAGATTTTTAGCGACTCGACGGGGTGTGATGAGCTTTTTAGTAGCACTGAAGTCTGAATCGCTGTCGGAGGTGTCGGACGTCGAGGATGAGGAGCTGGACGAAGTGTCACTTGAATCTGAATCTGAATCAGAGTCTGAATCAGATTCTTCCGAGTCCGTATGAGAAGACGCGTCGGAGGTGTCGCTAGACGACTCGCTCGGAGACGGGTCTCTGCGCTTTCGTTTGCTGCCTGCTGCGACAGGGGGTGGAGGAATGACTATGACCGGTGCTGGGACAGCCTCGGGTGCTAGAGACCTCGTGATTCTGGAGATTTCAATAGTGAGGCATTGTTAGAAAGGGGGTACTTGAGGTAGTACGCACTGCACAAGGTCGCCGTCTCGCAGCACACCGATCTGCGTGTCGTCTAAGAGCTCAAAGTCGTCCATGAGCAGCGCGATGCTGCCTCGTTTCGCACCGGCATCGCGCAGCGGTCCGAGGTCCCTGCATAGCGCGTCCTTGAGCGCCTGGATGGTTCTTATGCCGTCGTCGCTGATGTCGATGGGGAACCAGGCCTTGAGGGCGGGGAGGGGCGGGGACGCGGTGACTCGGAGGCGCATTATGGGAGACGCGACACGGAAGTCGGATTCGGGAATTGGGAATAGGATTCAGAGAGTTTTCCCACGGTCACATCGTCCGTCGGCCACGTCTTTCTTTTGCCTCGCGTGTCACAAGCCAACGTTGTCCTTCTCCACCTCCTCCTCCCAACTTTCGAGTCGCCCTTTGTTCGTCCTTTAGACTTTCGCAAGCTGAGCGCGTGTTGCTCGGTACGGCGTTGTTAGACGATGGCGAACTATAACTATGACGAGGCGGGCAATATGGCTGCCTATTTTGTCATTTCTGTGCTTGCTATTATTCTTGTCCCCGCGACGTTTTCGTTGTTTACCGCTTTGAAGCCTAGTGAGTGCTCTCTGTGGTCAATGTTCCTCGTTTGCTCAACTTGGGTGCTCCAGAAACTCAACGCCTGGATGGGTGCCAGTGCCAGCCGTGCGTACAGAGGCGGGAGCAAGTGCGGAAGCGGGACAGCTCGGTTTTGAAGTCTCTGTTCAGCCAAAAGTGCGTATGATGTTGCTGCTGCATGCGCGTGTCGGTGCTCATATGGGATAGGTCCTTGCTCATCACTGCGGGATGGGCGGTCGTCGCGTTCCTCACGTACAAGGTCGTCGGCGCGGAGATTGAGAACAAAGTCTACAACCCCTTTGAGATTCTCGGTATCTCGACTGTGAGTCGCGTACATAATGGCGTGGGGGTGCATGTCTGACTGTTTGTAGGGTTTAACGGAGAAGGAGATTCGCTCGCATTTCAGGAAGCTGTCGCGCATATAGTCAGTACTAGTGTCTTGCCGTTTCCCTGCCCGTCTCTAAACCCTTTTTCAGCCACCCTGACAAGGTTAAGGCTACCGTCAACCAGACCATCGAGGAGATTGAGCAAAAGTTCGTCGAGATCACCAAGGCTTATAAATCGTGCGTGTCTTCCTTGTTTCAACACGTCATCACGCTCGTGATGCTGAAACGCGTCTTGTGTGCAGGCTCACGGACGAGACTATCCGCCGCAACTGGGAGCTGTACGGCCACCCTGATGGTCGCCAGGAGATCTCGATGGGCATCGCGTTGCCCGCGTGGATTATTGAGAGCAAGAACAATATCTGGGTGCTCGGCGTTTATGGGATTATCTTTGGAGGCGCTCTTCCCGCGATGGTGGTACGTGGCTGTCATATGATGCGTGTCGGCGGGCGTGTTAAATGCGGGTTTTGTGAATGTAGGGACGCTGGTGGTTCGGCAGTCGTCAGAAAACCAAGGATGGTATCAATGCGCAGACGGCCGCGGCGTTCTTCAAGGGTTTGAAAGAGTTTTCGACGCCGACGGAGATCGCGGGTGTGCTGAGTCAGGCGTACAAGTGGGAGAATCCGCCATCGGCGAGCACGCACCAGGAGGAGGTCAAGAAGCTCGAGGAGCAGATTGAGGCGGCGCTTGGTGAGGAGTGGAAGGAGGCCAAGAAGGTGGTCGAGGGCAAGAACGGAGGCAAGAGCGAGCGGAAGGCGCTTGTGCTGCTGTATGCGCATTTCCTCAGGCTGGATGTTTCGCCGGGTTTGAAAGCTGGTGCGTTTGTCTTGAACGATTGCAATGGTTATGGTGCTAATTCGAACCGCAGAGCAGAACAGGGTCGTACTTCAGGCGCCGTTCCTTCTTAATGCCCTTCTCAACATCGTAGGTGCTCGTAGCTGGCTGACCCCGACTCTGGCAACCATGCGTCTGCACGCGTACCTCTCGCAAGCTCTTGTACCCAGCAAACCCAACTTTGTTGCTCAGCTGCCTGGTTTCTCGGCAGAGGATGAGCTTGCCAAGAACGGTGTTACTCCCCTACCTCAGCTGGCTTCGAAGCTCGAGGAAAGTCGTGATGGTCGTTCGGCTGATGTCAAAAAGGCTTTGCAATCATGGAGCAAGCTTGACGTTCTCAGCACTGCGTTCAAAGGTGCCGTGTTCTCGCCTGCTGTCGCCTTGGTCGTGCTAACCATCCTGCATAGTCATCGGCGAGCGCTTGATCACGCCCTCTGCTATTGTGTTCCTGCTCGTCAAAGTGCGCGTCCGCCCGCCCGTCGCCGTCGCCTCGGAGAAAGGCACATCCGAGACCGAAGAGCAACGTGCTAAACGCGAAGACGAGTTCCTTAACAGCCGCGGCGACGCCGAGGACGTCAAGCTGCCCACGTCGTACGCACACGCGCCCCGCTGGCCCGGTCTCCGCAAGCCGTCGTGGTGGCTTGTTCTTGCTGACGACAAGACGAACCGCGTGGTTGTTCCGCCGATGAAGCTTACGGAGATCCCGGTGTCGCAGAGCGGCGCGAGTGGCGAGTATCGGTCGTATAAGCTGCAGTTTCAGGCGCCGCCGCAGGTTGGGCTGTTTACGTGGAAGGTGTCGTTTGTTAGTGATACGTTTGTGGGCGAGGAGGTGCAGCAGACTATTGTTGTATGTGTTCTTTTTTTGTTGGCTTTTTGCTTGGATGAGGCTAACGGTGTGTGTAGATGAAGATTGACGATGTCTCGGCGCTCAACGCGGATGAGCAGGGTGCAGAGGATGAGATCTCGGATCCCGAAGAGGACTCGCTTGCGGGACAGATGGCGGCTATGCGCGGGGGCTCTGTTAAGCAGCCGGGCCGGGCCCGTGACAGTGATGAGGAGAGCTCGACGGATGATGATGAGGAGGGTCCTGCGGCGGATGATAGCTCGGATGATGATGATTAGACTGTCACTTTCGTACATGTTTTCTTGCATTTGTTTGGTTCTAATTATAAATATCGGGCAAGCATACCAATCAGGAATGCATTTAGTCAGCCTTTTTGGCTGCTTTAGTGTGCACTAAAGAGGTGTTACTGTATCATTTTTATCATGAATTTGTGGTGGTGCGAGAACAAATAAAAATAATTTCCACTGGTCCACCCAGGCAAGTTTGATGGGTGTTAGAACCAGCACCAGAAGAATATCCCAATACGTTTGCCAATGTAGTTAGGATACCTCAGGTGAGTGGTTGAAATAATTTTTGCATACCTTTCCAAAACTTATCCAATCCAGGCACTGGGTTTTATTTAAAATAAATCATGGGAAGGTATGCTTATGACTTTGTGATATGTGGTATTATGGGTACTCTATATAGCAGCTGAGTCATGAACCAGTGTGTCTGCCCAGGGAGAACCAGGACATTCTAGCTATGCTCCACTCACTGTGTCTATGCCCAAACTAGACAGTGGCTGACATAGCTGCATCCAGTCGAGAATTCCCACAATTAGTCGGGGTAGTCTCGGCTCGCTGGACCTGGCCAAGGATGCTTGTGTATCAGACCTGTTCTCAATCGAATGCACACGCGACTAGCGCGCCTGGACGTGACTCATCACCCCGCCCCTCTAGTCCCTTTATACAGACCCCTTTGTAACCCTTTGTACCCATGAATAGACAAGTTCATCAGCTCCCTCAAATCCTTCTGATTGTCTGAGAGCCGAGTAGCCTGAACCAGCACAGGTAAACCAAGTACTAACTACTCGACATCAACCAACTATAGGTACTATGGGTTTTGGGGCACTGAGAGACTGGTGAGCTGGCAATTTGGTGCTTGAGCAGGTGCTTGTTGCGAGTTGATAGCGGCTGAGGCCAGCCTCTGCCTCGAGGATTGCACCGACAGCATTCTGGGCATGAGCAGATGGGGTGGCTGGCCTGTGATGAGCTAGGGTCAGCCAGACACGACAACGAGCGAGTGGAACTCGATGTACCGGAGTTGACATGAGGGTAATGAAGGTGACCTGGGAATGGGTTGATGCTGGATGGGAGATGCTGGATGGGTCGAAAGGCTGGAATGAGGGTTTGAGAGAGCAGGAAGAGCAACGAGAGGGAGAGGATGAGCAAGCAAAAACATTTAAGTCCGTTTTTCACCTGCGGCCAGGCCTCTCTCAGAGGTATCCCGCATACATCTACCACCCACGCATCTTGTTCACGTGGTCGTCTTGGCCTGCGAGGAGCTCTGCCAGGACCTCCATCTTGTGGTCCACCACTGTCTTCTCATCTTTTAGCATCAACATCACCCGCACAGGCGACGCTGCCTTCTCATATACCAATGTGAGTGGCTGCTATGTCTAATTCCCATATGCTCACTAATCAAGTCCGTCACAGCCTGCCTGACGACCCGATGGACTTTGCAGATGCAGACAACATGTCCATGGACATCCCGCCGCAGAGTCCACCTTGGGTCGCTGCGTCACCTACCATTTCCCAACCTCCAGCCACGTCCGTTGCTCCTTGCCCACTCACCCCTCTTGCTTGACAAGGGTCAGCTCACCGGTCTGACAATTATGTCAACGTAACAAGTATGTCGAACACCACGCACACCATGTGCTCTCAGCGCAAACGCAAGCCAGCTCGCATCCGCGCCACCCCAATCGCCTATAGCGATGATGAAGAGGTAGCCTCTACACTGCCCCTGAAGACCTCGTAGCCGATCACGGAGCAGTCCCTCGGGCTCTACGATGGCTCAGACAGCGATGAGGATACCCATAACAATCCTCTCTTGCATACACAGATTGTCAGCAATGATGGCGAGGCTGTTGACGCTCCCCCCAGTCTCAATCGGCAACCACAAGGTACTTTGCCTGCCAATGCCAGTATCTTCCATTCCCACCCCTGACTTGTACTCCAAGATGCCCAACCCGAAGGATACATACAGAAATGTTCATACATCATGGGTAGCACACCTCTTCATCGTGCTGGTTGCCTTTCTGCACGCACAGTACCACACTCCGTTCAGAGCCTGTAGGCTCGTCCTGCAGTGCACTTATTTTATCCACACTTCACTTAACCTCATTCCCATCAACACTCCCAACCAACCTGGATACCCTCTCACCCTCGGCACCATCATTTGCAAGTTGGACCTCAACGATCACTTCAAGGTACTCCCAGCATGCAGGAACTGCCATCGTATATTTCCCGCAATGGCTCCCATCACCATGTCATGCATAGGCTGTGGGACACAAATCTACAAGCCAGTTTTGGGTTCTATCTTTCGGAGAGTCATTGGGAGACGTGCTCCGCCGCCGCCGCTTTGTGCAGCTCCATTCCAGCTTCCCTCGTCTCTCCTCGCTCAGCCTGGTAATGAAGACGAGTGCGAGATGTGGAAGTTGCGCCAGCCCACTCCTGGTATACTGCATGACATAAGCAATGGTCACGTCTGGCAGGAGGCCCAGACCACTGACAAACAACTGTTCTTCTCCAGGGAAGGAGATGACAGTGGCGAGCTGTGGATTGGAGTCACGATGAGTCTCGACTGGTATGTAAGTTTGATTCTTTCACTCATATTCATTCTCATCTATTGAAAGGTTCAGTCACAAAACTTCAGTTTATGGGCCAAGTCACTCCTCTGGTGCGTTTTTCCATTGCATCTCAAACCTCTCCTGAAGCAAACGGTCAGTGCTTTCTATCCACTATTTATTTTCCGTGCTAATGTTCAGCTAGATATTGCGCCGAGAACCCCCTTAGTGTTCATGACTCCTGGCCCACACAAACCAATGGCAGAAGAACTGCAAAATTACCTCAAGCATATTGTCAACAATCTCCTCAAGCTATATGAAGATGGGGTAGTATACTACACTCACTCTCACCCAGATGGTAAGGTCCTTCATAATGTTCATGTCCGGCTGTACTGACACTCTCAGGTTGGCGTGTCCACGTCATTCTACTCGGCATCATCTGCAATCACCCGGCTCTATGCAAAGTTGCCAGATTTGCAGACCATGGACATGACGAGGCACCATGTCCAAAGTGCAAGGCCACAGCGGACCAGTTATTTTCTGATATTGGGCTTTGAAATGGTGCATTTGGTGCTACAGTGCAAAGGACAACTCATTCTCATTATTTATGTAGGACTTCCGCCTCGTACACACCAAGAACATTGCTGACTTGCTCGCAAGCACTTGTCCATAACGGGTGTAAAACGTTGTGAAGAGTTCTTCAAGCAGAATGGCTCCCCGTGGTCAGAACTCATGCACCTGCCATACTTTGATCTGGTGTGGCATTCAGTCATAGATCCAATGCATAATCTACTACTAGGTGCACTGATAATCTCATTTATGTACTCACTAATTGTACACCTGTGACAGGAATTGTACGAACACAATGGCACCCTCAGTGGATCAAGACTAATACACTCCAAGCTCCCACAGCCGCCGGAAATGGTCGAGAGCTCGGATTCGTACATCAGTTCCTTAGCACAGTATGATGCATGCCACTGCCTCAAATACTAATACTATGCACTGATTTGAATAATGTGTTTCAGTTCGAGTCACCTGCATGGGCGGGTAAGCTCCCGACTCGCATTGGTGAGCCAGCGGGCAGCAATCTCACGGCCGATTCATATAAGTTTGCAATGCTCACTGCTTGGCCTCTCGTAGTAAGTTCACCTTGCCTTGTTATTCATATAGTTTCTGACCCGATACACAAGATCCCCATTGTCTGGGACATATTCATCAACGAGGCTATCAAGGATCAGGCCAAAGATGTTCAAGAGTATCCTGAATGTCACGCTCAGTGGCAAAAAGACTTTGATGACCGGTGTAAGCGCAACCTGATGGTGGCACCCATGGGAAAATGCAAGAAGAAGGACAAAAGCAAAGATCCGGAGCTGATTGGCCCAAAGCCACCAATGGTACGCATGCAACCGGATGAGCCTATCAACTTTCTACGGATTTCCGCTGCTCTCAAGGTGTTCTGTGCAAGCTCTGTCTCAGTCAATGCCCTCCCGAGAGCCGAAACTCTTCTGCAAGATTACCTCATTGGTTATAAACGTGTAAGTACTGAGCTCTACTCTACGTGAACACTTCCCTCACTACATGTTTATTCAGTTATATGGGGTGAATACGCTCAAACCCAATTCTCATTGGGCAGTTCATCTGTGTGAGCAGGTGCTTGACTACGGCCCCATATACAATTTTTGGGCCTTCCTGTCTGAACACCTCAATAAGGTGTTGAAAAGTGCTACCTTTAACAAATGGGTTGGCGGCCAGATTGAGATCACGATGATGTGCGAGTTCACGTGCTCATCACGGCTTGATACAATAGTAAGTGCCAGGCTATTCTCTGATCACTGACTGACAGGCCTCATCACATTATCAGCTCCGTTTGGCTGCTCTTGCACCTGACAACACTGTTGTGGCTTCTATCCTAGACACAATTTGGAACCTTGACGGAGACGGTAGTGGAACACTTTACAAAGCTGTGTTATCTGATGGTAAGGCACTTATCTTTTACGTTCATAGCTAATGTTGTGACACCAGAGCTATCATCACACCAGACTGTACAGCCTGGGCCTTGCGTTGGGGCGAAGGAGAGAATGGCTGGGCCTCTTTGCCAGTACATGTGAAACTACTACAACATGATGGCTACAAATGCAAATCTCCCCACTCAATTTCATTTAGCAGATGAACACACTCGCTCTGCTGACTCAATTGTCTTACAAAACTATGCAACACTTCATCATCATGCTCTTTTGGGCGGTCAACGTGTCATTCCTATCTCAACTGCTTGTAATAACTCTGCTGACTCTGCCATAGTCAAAGTCACGCCTGGCAATGGCAACCCACTTTATGGTGAAGTCATTCACATCTTCCCTCATCAGCAGCTGGGCGCGCCTTGTCTGTTCGCAGAGTTTTGATGAATGCAGGAGTTGACTATTTGCCCGGTTGAAAATGACCCTTGGAGTGAATTGTAAGTTTTATATTTGTTCTCATCTGGCGTGTACTCATACAATGATAGCCTGGAGCTTGACGTCCATTTCTTTGCTGTAGACAAGTATCACGACGCACACACACTACCTACATTCTATCCTTTTGACTATATCTCTTGCCAGATCGCCAGAGGCATTGTTGGGACCGTCACACTGCCAATATGGATCATGACAATGCTCAACAGGGTAAGACTGTACTCATAACGCTATGGCAACACATACTAATCAAGTATACTCGCCTAGCATTCAAGATGATGTCCAACATGGATTTCCCCAGGCCCACTCATTCTTGTCATACCCCTTTGCATTCACCTTAAGTCTGCAACTGCAGTTTGTTATCATTGGCTCTAGCACCAAAGGCGGAGGCAGCGCAGTCATGTAATGGGGCGGGTCGACGGACTTGCGGGATGAACAGTGCAATGTTGAGAGGTTGACTATGCCGGGCTACTGGCGTTGATTAGACAAAGAGGATACGACGTACAGAACCGGTGGCTTGACTCTGGCCATGTAAATACTAGCAAATAGACTATATAATTTTAACCAGACCTCGGGTGCATTAAAAACCTCATCGAGGAAAAGCTACCGGGTCGGAACAAATGAGCAATGACAAATCGATGAAAGGTGACGGCCTGCGCCGTCACAGTATCCCCCTTTCAGCGCCAAACTTGAGAGAGTGCGCGAGGTTGACGATCACAGGTTGAGGTGAGTAGCAGGTCGCGAAACGCATCCGGAGCAGAGCGTGGTTTGCAGGGGCGCCATATACTCAGCGCGCGGATCTTCGTGCAAAGGCAGAGGAGAGGGTACGCGAGTGAGTGCAGGCGGTATTAGCGCTTGGAGGCGCGGCAAATCTGGAATGGGAAGAGGAAGGGCGAGAGGAGAGGAGGAACGAGAAGAGGAAGAGGACGTCACCAAACGGGCGCGCTCGAATGCGGCACGAGGTGGGCAATGCGTGCGGGGGTGGCGACGGTGATAACAATCGAGTAGTTCGTCAATCGTACGGGGAAGTTCATCGAGCGGGACCCAGGCATCTTCGTCGTCGGTTCGGCCGCAGAAACGCACTAGGTATTCATAGCACTGTCCGGTTTTGCGGGCGTCGAGCACAGCAGCGATTTGCGTTGCTGGGTCGTCATCTGGAGTGAGCTTGAAGGGCTGGGGCTCAGCGTGCAGGTGGAAGTCGGATGGGTCCTTGTAGGGTTCTAGGAGGGAAACATGGAAGACGGGGTGAAGATGGGAGAGATAAGAAGGTAGATGTAGCTTGAACGCGTGTGTTCCGACAGCGCACTCGATGGGGTAGGGACCCAGCCATCAATGATCAAGCTTGTCGGCGGGTCTCGTAGTCTTGATGTTGCGGCGTAACAGCCAAACGAGCTGACCCGGAGCGAGTTTGGGCGATGGGTCGTGGTGACGGTCGTATGCACGTGCTTGAATCTCTTGAGCACATACGAGTTCGGCACGCAGCTCGGCGTGAATACGCTCGAGGCGTGAAGCAAGGTCGGCGGCTGCGGGCACTGGGGAGGAGTTGGCGTCAGTGATACGAGGTTCGGAGAGAGGGTGATAGCCCGTGAGGGCGAAAAAGGGCGTCTGTTGTGTTGATGCGTTCTCAGCGTTGTTGAACGCGAATTCAGCAGCGGGTAGGTAGTCTACCCAGTCATCTTGCTGGTACGAGACGTAGGCACGTAGATACGTCTCGAGCGTTTGGTTGGTGCATTTGGTGAGACCGTCCGTTTGTGGGTGGTAGGCAGTCAATTTGCGGGCGTCAATCTGTAAGAGGCGGGTGAGCTCTGTCCAGAAACAAGAAACAAAAAGGGAGCCGCGGTCTGATATGATAGACTTGGGAAGCCCGTGATAGCGAAAGATGCGGTCGAGGAATAGCCAAGCAAGTTCGGGAGCAGTAATCAACTCTTTGCAGGGGATGAAGTGGGCGGCACGGGTGAATCGGTCACATACGACCCAGATGGAATCGTAACCATGCAAATCGGGGAGCTTGACAATGAAATCCATGGATATGGAGTTCCAGGGGTGAGACGGAACCTCGAGGGGCTGTAGGGGACCGTACGGGCAGTGGCAAACAGCCTTGATGCGAGGGCATACGTTGCAAGCCTCGACATAGCGGCGTACGTAGGTGTAGATCCCTGGCCAGGAGTAATCCCGTTGCACGCTGTGCAGCGTGCGTGTACGACCAGGGTGTCCTGCGGCTGGCGCATCGTGCCGTGAGTGCAAAACATCTGCGCGAAGAGAGGTGGGGACGAAAAGACGTCCCTTGTGAAACACCATGCCCCGTTCGGCCATGAACTCCGAACCGCCTCGAGCGAGCGCTTCTCGCCATTCCTGGTCGGTATCCCATTTGCGCTGGAAATGGGCGAGTAGTTCGGAGGAATCTATTGTGAGGGTGGTGAGCGCGGAGATAGATGCAGATGGGGGAGTGATGGAGGAAGGCGGGAGTAGGGTAGACTCAGGGAATAGTGCTTGAGTGTGGTAAGGCTTGAGGAGCGTTCAGAATTGCGCTTCGAGAGCCTCATCCCCCTTTCGAGGAATGAAGTCGGGGCGGCGTGAAGGCGCATCGGCGACATTTTTGATGCCGGGTCCCCAAACGAGCTTGAAGTCGAATTCGGAAAGGAACATGGCCCAACGAGCCTGTCGACGATTAAGTACGCGCGAAGACATGAAGTACTCAAGGTTTTTATGGTCCGAAATGACAGAGACCGGGCGCGACGAGCCGAGGAGCCAGGCGCGCATGTCACGGAATGAATCAATGACGGCAAGGAGCTCCTTATCATAAACTTCGTAGTTGATCTCGGCCGGTGTGAATTTTCGCGAGTAGTAGGCAACGGGGTGTAGAGCGCCGTCTTTGTCGGGTTGGAGGAGTACGCTTGTGAGCGCAAAGTCGGAGGCGTCTGTAGCGAGCGTACACGGCAGCGATGGGTCGAAGTGTTGTAGAACGGGGCCGGATGCGAGAGCGTCCTTGAGGCGCGTGAACGTGCTGCGTGCGTCATCTGTGAAATGGAACATAACATCCTTTTTACAAAGGGAAGTGAGCGGGAGCGTGATGAAGGAGTAACGGAGGACAAAGCGGCGGTAGAAGTTCGTGAAGCCGAGGAACGCTTGCACGTCGCGGACGCAGCAAGGTTCGGGCCATGACTTGACAGTGTCGAGCTTCTTCGGGCTCATTTTGATTCCGTCGACGCCAATAACGTAACCAAGGTAGTTGACCTCGGAGCAGTCGAAGGCGCATTTTTCGGGGTTGGCAAACAGGCGGGCGGCACGGAGACGGTCGAGAACCTTCTTGACGTGTTCGTTGTGTTCCTCCTGGGAATGAGAGAAGATCAGTATGTCATCGAGATATACAATGCAGAAGATATCAAGATAGTCGCGTAGCGTGTCCTGAATGAACGCCTGGAAGGTGGATGGTGCGTTGGTGAGTCCGAAGGGCATGACAAGAGTCTTGAACAGGCCGAGAGGCGTCCGAAACGCGGTTTTCCACTCGTCGCCGTCCTTGACGCGGATGAGGTTGAATGTGTTCTTGAGGTCGATGACAGTGAAAACCTTGCAGCCTTGAGTCCTGTCGAGCAAATCATCAATGCGAGGGAGAGGGTAACGGTTCTTTTTGGTGATGGAGTTCAAACCGCGATAGTCAACGCAGAGCCGAAGCTCGCCCGACTTCTTGCGAACAAACAGGATAGGGGAGGCAGCGGAGGATGTCGAGCGACGGATGAAGCCCTTTTTGAGGTTATCGTCAAGATGCTTGGCGAGGGCATTGCGCTCGTCCTGCGAGAGCCGGTACATGGGGCCGAAAGGCAGTGACTTGCCCTTGTCGAGGTTGATAGCAATATCGTAGGGACTGTGCGGAGGGAGAGCGTCGACTTCGGTGTCGGAGAAGATGGACAATGCCCAGGGCATGTACTTGGAAGGGAGCGCGCGCAGCGCAGACGAGTCGTGGGGTTCGTCGGGACTGAGGTCAGCGTCTAGCGCTGACAAGGAACCGGTGGAAGCAATGCAATATGCAGGGGAGTCTATGGGGTGAAAACGAATGAGTGCGATATCGTGGTTCTTTGCAGATTTCCGGAAACGCGAAGGGGTGAGGATGCGTATGTTGGGTCGGGGGTGAAGAGAAGAACAGGTGCGATCGAGGACGGCACGACCGGAGCCGTTAAGTCCCGTCAACGCGGAGAGGAAGGAGGGTGAGGGTGAAGTGCACATCAGAGGAGTTGGTGCGCTGTCCGCGGATGAGCGCGAAGACGAGTCGCTGGCCAAGCGATCATCATTGGGAGAAGTAGAAGATATATTGTGAGGTAACGTAGGTATAGTAGGGGTAGGAGGAGATAAAAGAGAAGAGTGGGAATGGGTGAGTGACTCGCCGTGAAGACCGAAGCGTAAGCCAACAGAGGTGGAGTTGAGGGTACGAGCCGGCAGCGGGAGTCGAGGGAGACCGGGGCCTTGAGCGACAACGTGGACCGGGTTAGAACGAGTAAGGTTACAACAAGATAAAGAGAGATCCATGTCCGCCCAGTCAATCTTAGGGTTGTGGCGACGAAGCCAGTCCAACCCCAGAATGACCGGGTAACTGACCGACACAACCCCGAGGCAAATGACCTCGGAGTGTTTGTCCACCGCAAGATGTGTGATGACGTCTTGCGTGACCAAACCGCTAGCGATGGGACAATTGTCTACGGTGGTGATCGGCACCGGAACATCCTTAAGCGCCCGCGGAAGCGAGTGCCGTTGGGCGAAACGGTCGGATATGCAAGAGGCAGAGGCGCTGGAATCCACCAACGCGAAGGTGCGGATGGGGGCGCGTCCAGGGAACAAGAGCAAAACAGTAATGAAGAAATGGTCTGGGGAGTTTAAGTAAGTAGAAGCAGCAAAAACGAAACAAGAAGGGACGTAGTTTTGGGGTATATACCGTCCGTCCGTCGCGCGAACGAACGTGGGCGTCGTGGTCGGGTACGGACGTGCCCTGGCGTCATCGACCGGGGGCCCTAGGGCTGATGTCGGGCTCCCGGTTACGCTTTTCCTGATGAGGGAGTGGCGGTGCAACGTTCGGTGTCGCGCTTCTTCGCCTTCGCAGACTTGTTGGGGCACGAGTTGACGTCGTGCGCGCCGCTGCAGTACGAGCAGAGACCTAGGCGGTGGCGACGGTCCTTCTCTTCCTGGGAGAGGGGTCCGCAGAACCTGACCATGTCGACCTCCATGGGCACGACGTCATTGGAGGCAGGAGGTGCAGTGCAGCGAGGCAGCTCGACGTTAGGGTACGGGATGTCGACACCACGGCAAGGGGGCTCACGAGTACAGGAGTTGAGGGCGTCCTTGTGCAGATCATTGTCGAACTCAATGGCGAGCTGGACATACTCGTCGAAAGTGGCGGGCTTGGGGCGCACTCTGCAAACGAGGTTCCGGACGTTGTCCTTGAGCCCGAGTTTGAACTGGTTGAGTTTGGTGGTTTTGGAGAAGTCGACAAGGGGCAAGAGCTCTCGATAGCGCGAGAATCTTGCGTAGGGCTGAGCGGGAGAGATTCGGGTCAGCGAACTGCGTGCGGAAAGCGATGAGGAGAGCGGGGAAATCCTCAAGGAGGTGGGCTTGGTGGGGTTTGGTGGTGTACCACCAAATCTTGGGGTTCCCGTCCTTGAGATAAGTCGACAGGTAGGCCGACTTGTCGCGGTCGGTAGACATCCGTTGGAGACGGATGTTGGTCTCAATTTCGTCGAGGAAGGGCTCGACACTGGCCATTGATCCGTCGAAGAGGCGCGGTTCACGCGCCTTAAGGGGACGGTCAACGGCGGGAGCGTGAGTGTTGGCGAGGGGAGCCGACGTCAACAGCTGGTTCTGCGCGTGATTGACAAAAACCCGGAGGCCGGAGATAGCATCAGCCATGGCGTTGAGTGCCTGGTTGTTGTTCTCTTGCTGTTGCTCCCAGCGTTGGCGAGCCTCAGCGGCCTCAGCGCGCATGTTGAGGAGCGTCTCCCAGAGGATCTGCTCGGTGCCGGTGGGGTGGACGTCTGGGCGTCCGGCTGCGCGGTAGCGTCCTCTAGCAGGTTGGACAACAGGGGGGAGTCGTCGGAAGTTTCCCAGCCTGTTGTACCATCTGTATTGGTCCAGGACATTTTTAGCAACTTGAAACGAGGGTTTGGGGGTGGGAAGGAAGTATTGAATTGGAGGTGATTGGTGTGGGAGAGTTTTCAAATGCGGAGATCAACGTTTGAGATAACGAGGATTTAGCTAAACGTGAGTATTGGTCTAATCAAACTGTAACGGGGCGGGTCGACGGACTTGCGGGACGAACAGCGCGATGTCGAGAGGTTGACTATGCCGGGCTACTGGCATTAATTAGACAAAGAGTATACGACGTACAGAACCGGTGGCTTGACTCTGGCCATGTAAATACTAGCAAATAGACTATATAGTTTTAACCAGACCTCGGGTGCGTTAAAAACCTCATCGAGGAAAAGCTACCGGGTCGGAACAAATGAGCAATGACAAATCGATGAAAGGTGACGGCCTGCGCCGTCACAAGTCAGCCCTACGACCTCTGCTGGCAAATGTGGTTCTTGCCTCTCATGTTCCTATGCCGCCTCCCAGTGCAAATCCAATGCCACAACCAACGGCACCGCCTCCCCACCCTTGTCCCCTAAACCCCAGCCAAACAGCACCAACTGCAACCTTGCACGCGCACCCTCTCTGCACTTGTTCCCCGCCAAAGATGACAATGTGGGCAACCCCACGCTCGGGAGTAGCGGCACCGCACCCTCAGGCTTTGAGTTTGGGAACCCGCACAAAAACAACAGCACAGGCAGGCACACAAGCAAGCACAAATTAATGCGCAGCTGTCGCAGCATGCGCTCGACAGGCACGACAGGCAGTGTTTAGCAATGGTGCAGTGCTCTGTGTGGTCTCATCATCCTTGCACAGTCCTTCACAAATGTGACAGGTAAAGCATCAGTCACAGATTTGTGACTGTGACACATACTAATCATGTACATTTGTCTAGCACCGGAATTGGACTTGAGTTGTCATAACGTACAAGAACTGACCCTCCACTCATTCCCCTTGTGCTCCCTCATTCACAGCCTTCTCGCCACTTCTCTTGCCATTCCCCTTGTCTCCATGAGTCTCGCTTGACCCCGCTTGGGGTGCTCGGCTCCCAAACCCCTCGGGATTGTTGTAGCTCTCCCAGTCCTCCAAATGGTAAGAAGCTAGCTCACTTTTGTCTTTATTCTCATTGTACCACAGTCTGTTGACCTGGAATTTGTAGGGTGCTTGCTTGGTGATTTGTGACGACAGATGACCACTGCCATATACATGTACAAATTGCTCTTGTGCGCACTCTTCTGGGCTGATTGAGGCTAGGTAATCACCATGCAGCTCATGTTCGATCATTTCCCCCTGCCAAATCACAAAGTGAGTAGTGTTCTAGTGTCGTAACTGATTGCTCACCTCGTTGCTGAGCCACAGGTGCTTTAGAACCTCAAGGAACCTCATACATTCAAACACGTCACCCTCAGTCGGATACTCTGCCAATTGAGCCATCCTCATTTTCCAGTCAGTCTTGCTCTCCACACTCTCGTCTTCGGGCTCTGACATTTTGTCTAGAACATACTCCGGGTGCAACACTGGCTTGGGATCTGCGAGGCAACACCATTCGTATCTGGCTCATGCAACTGGAGCCTTCAAGTGCTTGTATTTCTGATTGCGGTGAGTACTTCCATGCTTGTTTAATTGTTGACTGCTCATGTACCAGTTCACGTCAACAGTCTCGCCAGTTTTTTGTCGCCAACACAGCCAATTGCCTGGCAATGTCATTGTCGTTTTGGCTTTTCCACTGCAGCTTCGCACTCAACCAAGTCACTGCTGCCAGTTTTCCCAGACTATTGATTGTCTTCCTCACTGTCACTTATTATTCCTGACTAACATATGGTATAGAGTGTAACATCCCGCATTGCATACAATAATGACTCTTGGACTACCCGGCAGATGATCTTCTTGTTCTCTGCTACAATTGCAAGTTGGATTGACAAAGAATGGATCATTCACTCATGGATCATTGATTTTTGGCACCTCAATGCAGACAAGCATACAGGGGAGGGATCAGCAAGGGTGTTCTGGTCTGCCACACAGAACATGGGCAGTGTCAATAAGATGGGTAGCTTATTTCTCTTTTATGCTCCCCCCATTGACTGTATTGGCTAACATTGGTTTGCCCAGCACTTAATCTCAATCACTATGGACAATGCGTCTGCCAACAAAGTTATTGCAGAGGTGGTTTGCAACTTGCTTCAAAACTGCTACAAGATTCCTTTCCATCCCAAAAACAGTCAAATTTGCTGTGCTGCACACATTATCAACCTTGTTGTCCAAAAGATCCTCTTGACTCTCAGACTTGTTGACCATGACCCCACTGCCCATGACTACTACGGGGAGGAGAACAAGCATTTTATGTTGAACTTTGACCTTGACACAGGAAACAAAGACCAGCAGGCACAGAAGCAGACAACTACAACAACCCCAATCCAAGTGAGCAACACCAGATGGCAATAAGACAGCTTACTCCAATTTAAACCCACTCAAAAAGGTAGGTGTTCCACATTCTCCCCGTACTCTTAGTCTGACATTTAAGCCTGCAGCTCCGGATCATTGTTGTCAAAATTGTTAGTAGTCCTGCACGCCGGGCCAAGTTTTGCAAGGTTTCAATTTGCGTCTATGGCCTCGAGATGACGCTCAAAAATGGCTTCCCAGTATGGCAACTCATGCCAGTGAGGGATGTTTGAACATGTTGGAACTCTATGGATGCCATGATAAAATGTGACCTCATCCTGCAAAAGGTATTTTTCTGCATCATTACAGTTAGCTTGTCCTGTAAATCTGGGTTTGAATTGGCTGAAGTCCTTGCCTTCTTGATTTAGATAGGGCTTTTGAGGTAGTTTGTGTTCCAATGCAATCTAATGAGGGAAATCAACCCCTATGCGCAAGACACGTCAGCTGTGCTACCTGAGTCTGCGTAGCTGCCAGAATTCTGACACATCTCTCTGATTTGTTCTATCTCAAATCCTTACTCAAGCTGGCATGGAATCTGCAGGAACTAGAAAAGCAAAATGATTTGCTGTTGACACAAAAACTTGCAGGAGGCTAGCCTACATCTATGATCTCCCAGCTAATGCTCTTGCTGCCTTTGCAGACAAAATTCTTGGATCTAGGCTTGACTTGCTTAAAAATTACCTACATAGTCTTGACAGAAAGCAGCTAAAGGATGCTCTCCGTGCCTCTTTGTTACTCTTTATTACTTCTGAACATTGCATGGTTCTCCAAAGGATGCAGCTTGAGTGCTCAAAGTCAATGGCTTCTAGGCAAAATTTGATTGTGAATGCATTTACCAGCTCAGGGAAAACTATTGCTATGCTTCTACCCATCCTTCTTAAACCAGAAAAGGTATTGTTGATTATATCGCCAATGAAACAGCTGCAATTGAACCAGGTCAGTAGAATGGGTTGATCTATACCTCATAAGTTGCTCAAGTTGTTATAGATAAAAGAGTTTGCCGAGTTTGGCCTTGAAACAGTGGCAGTTAACTATTCAACACCACAGGAGAGACATGCAGAGGAGTTCTGGAATGTAAGAACCTATATAATGCGCAGATATTCACAATTTTTAATGCTAATTTGAGTACCTGCATACAGAAAGTCCATACAGGTGGTTTTCCCATTGTCCTCATTTCTCCCGAATCATTTGGGCCATTTGAGGGTGGTAAGCAGATGCCACAGTTTGCAAGTCTTCTCAGAAGCACCCACTGGAACTTTGCTTTTCTCATAACCCAAGTCTATGTTGATGAAGCACACACTAACTATACATCTGGCTTACCTCTTCATGGGGGCACTGCTTTTCAACAGGCCTTTGGTCAAGTTGGTGATGCTCTTCGACTTTGGATGCCCAAGGCAACTCCAATCCAGGTGCTTTCAAGAACCCTTCTATGGCACATCAAGAGGACTGTTGAAGGAGTCCTTCATTTTAGGCACTTGGGGACCTGGGATACCATCAAGTACATGTCTAATCAGTCAAATATGACATACACATTCTGGCCAGTTGTGGGCTCTATGAAAAAATGTATCAAAGTCTCAATTTTATCCTCCCCCTCAACAACAATGCAAGGATCCTCATTTACTTTGACAATATTAATCAGGCTGCTGAGGCGACTAGCCATCTACATGGCCAGTTAACCCTGGAGGAACGTGCTCGAGGACTCATCTGTGAGTTTCACTCTGAAATGTTTGAGGCCTATAGATGTCAAGTTTACAAAGACTTTGCTTGTCCAGATGGCAATACATGTGTACTACTCACAATGTCTGCATGCGCTGTGGTAAGAAGATGTTATTTGGACAGTTCATGCATTTTTTAATATTTTATTTAGGGTGTGGATATCCCAGGGGTTACAATTGTAAATCAGTGGGGTGTCTGCTGTAATATTCCAGACTTGCATCAGCGTGGAGGGCGCATTGCTCGCACATTGCACACTGAGGGTTTGTACATAAACTTTCTATGAATCTCGGGTGGCAGAAAAAGTACCTCCAGACAAAATTGATGACAACCCAGATACCGCACTCAGGACACCTCTTCCAGAGCGATCTAGCAAACAGCATAGACTTGGGGCAGTGATGATTCACCTCATTAACAGCAAGACACTTTGTGTTTGTGACTTTTTGGCTACATACTTTGAAAACAACACACCAGAGAGTGGGTATTCTATGTTTGTCATAATACAGTGCTCACTTTGAGATAGGAACACTGTGCACCAACAAGTGGTGCTGCGACTGTCATGCTTCTAGTCCCATTGACTATTTGCAATGGTTCACAGGAGATATACTCAGAACTTCACATTTGCACACCTGGAAGCTGGTACCTGCACTGTGAACCCGGACATACCTGAATATCATGAGCACAAATCGTGTGTAAAATCTGCGATTATCATTCATTATGTATATAGTATCAATGGGATTTTGTCATGACAATCAGGTCCTTGCCCGAAAATGAATCATGTACATTTTTGTACAATTCCATTGTCCGAATCACCCTCCACGTACCTGATTTTTTGGGGGCAGAAAGGCAAGACCACAGTATAATGATTGGTTTTCATTGAAAACAAGGCAGTTATCACACATCGGGAACATGCAAAAATCAGGACAAATTCAATTCTATTAATGAACTATGGAACAGTATAAATAGCTACTGGATCTCCGCCATTGCACCCGATCGGACGATCTTGGCCACTTTCCTCGGCAGCACCGGGGTGACCTCATCGTCGTTGTCGGGAGAATCAGTATCAAAAAGATCACGATGCTTATGGGCAGTTTATTCTTGGGCGCGGAACCGACACCATCAACACTCCGTCCCAGAGATTGTTGGAGTGAGCTGGGTGATTGGTCGTGTAAGTGCCAACAAATACGTTAATGTCCTTAAATGACGTACCATATATCTCAGTGTCGAGCGACAACAAATCCCTATCGCAACTACTACGACGCCGGCACCGCGACCCTCAGCTTCCAGTCCATCTCTCCGAGCTGTCCGATGTGTGCAGTAGCACCGTGTCGGCATCGTTGCACCCGCTCGCGTTCGCAGAGTCGACATAGATCTCGAAGCCCTTCTTCGAAGTAGCACCGACGCACCGTGCAACGTCCGAAAAGTCATCATTGATGTTTGCGCGGCCGTGGCTGCGGCCGAGCGTGCAGTTTTCCTTGCCGCGTCCGCTGGCAGCGCTAGTGCCAGTGTCTATGCCAATGGCGAGCTTGGACTTGGACACGCACTTCAGCACGAGCTTCTTCTGCGCACCACCTTCTTCTGCGCACTGCCTTCCTTGGGTGCGAGGACGGAAATAGTGGGCAGAGGGGGCGGTTCAGCCATGGCGAGGCAGCGCTCGTGTCCTGAGAAGTGTTGGCAGTGGCAAAGGAGGCGCTGGGGTCCGAGGACGTGGCAGCTACGAGGCGGATGTGGGAACGGCGGGGTTAAGGGGTGGGGCATCATACGAGAAGGGGGAGGAGGGGGCGAGCAATGGCGGCGGGGAGATGGGGAGCCCGAGCTGCGCTCCGAGCTGCTGCGGGGAGGCGAGGAGCAGGCGCGCCATCCGGATGGGCCGCCTACGCGCTGGAAGAGAAAATAGTAGTTAGCATAGATGCACAAATGCGAAGGTAGAAGGATTGACTTACATGTTACCGCACATCCCAACGTCGATACACTGGGCGAGGGAGACGTCGGCCTGAGGAACAACACACGAACAGAGCATGAGTGTAGAGGGTGCGTGGATTCGGAGGGATGAAGGGGCCAAAATGAGACGACTTGAGCTTGTGCGCGGAGCGCAAGACGGCGAAGGGATGGCAGCTAGGGCAATGAGGGTGCATCTGGGGTGAAGAGAGCATAGCTGAGGGGATGGGATAAGCGTTGGCCGAGGCGTGAGGGTTGCTGTGGCCGACACAGTGCAGGATGGATGTTGAGACCGTGGTGCGCGTTGAGAACGTTGAGAACCGCTCGCTGCGGAGTTACAGATTTCTGCCCGAATATAGCAAGTGTTCACACACGTCGACACACAGCAAGTCTCACCGGATCGATAAGCCGGCACTCAAACTCTACGACCATTCTCGACTCACCCCGCGTACTGCTACTATGTCTACATCAAAAACGAAGTGCAACATATGGGGTGTAGTAATGACATTGGAAGGGAAGCTTCACTAGTGTTAATGAATGCTGAAATTCATTGTGTAATGCAATGATTTTAAATGGGAGTTTTATTTGTGTCTACAACCAGCATTGGCAAATGACAATGATTTCGCGGTTCCAGGTAACAGTACATGATTTTATATACCAGGTACATGTACCTGACTTCAAAATCACGTCAAGAACACATGATTTAACAGAATCAGAAGCCACGTACCTTGTGCATACCTGAAAATCAGGTACATATGTTTTCGCAGTGCTGATGCTGATACTGAGGCCAAACAACCTAGGAACAGCAGGGTGCAAGTTAAGCAAGCCCTACAGCTCTGGCAGGATAAGACATGGAGAGCACATCCTCTGTGCACCATAGTGGCCCCAGACAAGATTATAGACAATGAGGAGATTGAGGACATAACAAGCATATTTCCCTTGCTTGTGAGTGCAAACTCTGTGACAACTGTTTTGGATGAAACTATGGATTGGCGTTGCAAGTGGGGTCAAGAGGTTGCAGAGGTTGTTTATGCTTGTGATTTGGCTGTAGATATTGCAGCATTGACTGATAGCTACACTCCCGCACCAAACGGACAGTTCATTTGCTTTTGGCCTACTCAGTAAATGAATAAAAACATGTATACTATTCCTACTCCTCAGGGACAGTAAACAAAATATTAACAGCAGGTAGATCATCTATATCCTCCTGCCACTCACTGCCTTGCTGCATAAGTCTAAGCCTCTCATTAAAAGCAGGCACACTCTGAGACTTGAGCTTCTGATGGTTGGTGTTGAGAAGGTCAACAAATGGGTCAATCCCATCTGTGTTCCTCTCACAATCACATACTATCAAATACAAGTTGAATGCTACCACTATTTATATCATAAGTCCGGATCTTTGGATAAGCTCCGGATAGCTACTGGAGTAAGTGTGGAGTATCATGAGTAATCACTGAAGATGACTGAAGGTCGTAAGAATACAAAACATGACAGGTGTAACTGCGGAATAATGACAGGCATAAAGTAATGACAGGTAGAATGTGGAGTGAGTTGGTCACAAGAAAACATGCTGACTGATAATTCCTGAGTGTGTCCGCATCTACTCCGTAGCCGCCGGAGATACCGAAACAGTACCAAAGGAGCGAACATGGATCGGAGTTTGACCGGAGATGCATGGGTGTGACACACTGGGGGGTCGAGTTGGTTTGAGGGTGGTCATTGGAGGAAGAAGGGCAGTGAGAAGGGGTTTCAGGAACCTGTAAACAGAGTATGTAAGAGCCAATGGTCATAAAGTAGTTGACCATTGACTACAGATTCATCACGGAGCTCATCAAGAGCAAGTCCCATAGTCTATCAATATGAGTATGATGCAAGATATGGGGATACCAGATCACATACCTCCACCCTGCATCGCTTTGCAGCCTGAGCCTCCTTCTCTTCAATCCCCTTCCGTGCTTCCTCCTCCTCCTGCACCTTTATGTGTTCCTGGTATGTGGAGATCATGCTGGCATAGACACTCTCCGAGAGGCACCATACCTTACAGTTCCTCTCACATAGCTGGAGAACAGGGTAGCAGCGACAGGTACAAATGGAGGACAAACAAGCGGACACAGAGAGGCATCTCACTAAAGGTCTGCGGAAGGCAGGTGCGCACACCAATATCGTATAAAAGCTCCCAAATGTCCTTGCGCATTTCCACAATGAGATTGCCACCAACCGGGGTGCTGTCCTTGCCTGTAATATACTGATTAGTATCATTAATGTTATTACTTATGCATTTGGGGCCATTGATGCCCTTGGATCCCTTTGGAGCCTTCTTGATGTTATCAGAGTGCTCGGTTTTGATCTTGTCATCAACAGGCTGGTACTCGTGGGAGGTCCATGTGGATTCCATCTGCAGGTAGTCGGAAGCAGAGAGGATGATGTTGACATCGGCCTCGTAGAGAAGGCTGGAGGGCACATCGAGACCCTTGAGGTTGAACATGTCAAGCTCACGCTTGAGTTTGGCGAGATTGAATGGGGCAGCCACCAAAGTGGCAGTGGAGTTGGAGCTGCCAGCGGTAGAAGGTGTCGGCGCGGAAGGAGTTCCACCGGCATGCACATGGTCGCTAAGGAGCTTAATGGCCTCCCTGGGGACCACATATAGTTAGTCCCAGGTGCGTGAATGTAGTGACTCACTGGAGTTCCCTGATTTGCTTTTTCAGGTTAGTGTTCTGATTTTGAAGCTCATGGTTACCCTGGCATGAGATGTTGCCCTGAATAAGTGCAGTGTTACCGCCCTCAACAAAAGCAGTTAGGTAACACAAGGCTCACCTTGCTGGCAGATCCTTCTATCCCAGCAGCATGCAAAACCTCCGCAATGTTAAGCTCCCCTAAATTATCGGATGGGTCAAAGTCCATGATAAAATATGAGTTTGTGTCAAGAGGAAAGTACTGTCATCCTCCGTGAGAATGTACACCACCGCCAGAATGTACAACATTTTATTCTGCCCCCATGTCACACATATCTCTCAGGTACAAGTTATGACAATTATGTCTACATACTAAGGAATGTGCTTGCAAATACAGAGCTCGGAAGGATGTCCTGATAGACTGCTACAAGAGCCAAACTCCGGAAATAACACCATTTTTGAAAATTTTCTGACTTGAATGGTCCCTACAGCTAGTGTTGCCGCGGTTCGGGTGGCCAACGGTTTGGAACCATGAACCAAACCAAGGATGCCCTCGGTTCCGTCCGAGTTGGTTTCCAGGGACAGGCAGTTCCCCGACCCTAGTTTCGGTCCGTAGACCAGTTCGAACCCCATAACAAGGACAACAAAATCTATAATGAATTTGTAGTAGAAGTATACTAATATCACGACTGTGGTCCTGAGCACAATGAATGTGCATCAGGTGCAAAAGTGCTACTTACAAAAGAAACTCGCCTTTAACAGTCCTTGTATTAACAGAGCCTGCGTAATTCAGCATCAATGGTACTGTCTGACCTGTTTTGTCTGGGATATCCCTGAAGATGCATCTTGAACATGACATAGCTGACCCGCAGACCCAAAGATGCAGCAGTGGGCTGCCCGGGTCAGTGGAGAAGGCCAAAGGTTGACTACAATTACGTCAATAAAATCATAAGCGAAATCAAAGCTAAAAGGTTTCCATGGCGTCTTGGCTCCCAGGGGTTCCAAACCGAGAACTAACCCTCTGAAACCCTAACAAATGGTTTGGTCCCTGAAACCGAACCATGTTTGCCAAAAAACTGGTCCCGGTTATACAAACTGTGGCAACACTACCTACAGCCTTTGAATAGACTGCTACACTCGCAACAAAAACCACGCATGGACTATGCACTCTCTGGAAGTGCACTAAGCTTAGATCAGGAGGATCACCCTACTGGTGCAAGTGTGAAAAATAAAATGCGGAGGAGTGCCCAAATCATACAACACATGTGAAAAAATTATCTTATCTTGGCTTATCTTGGCTTATCTCGGCTGATTGTGCCCATGTCATGCCAATTACGGAACACTGGACCTGGCAACCAGTGCCAAGGTTTTTTTCGTCAATGCCTTGCTGAACCGCCTCAAGAATACACTACTTCCCTACTCTATCCCCTACAAACTTCTACTTGAACTATGGTTGGGAAAGCTGAACCCGAAGAGCTCAAGAAGTGAAAGGGGTCAGAAAGAGGGAGAGGCTGGTGCTAAGAGCAGTAGAGAAGTACCGAGAAGGAGTCACAAACCCTGGTCCGAAGAAGGTCAGCTACAGAAGTGTGTGTCAAGCAGTCGAGACAGAACACCTTCAAGAAACAAAGGAACATGTTACTATTAACTTTAACACTGTCTGCAAGTGCTACAATGAAGTACCTAGTCTACATGACACGAGGGCAAGCCAGTCACATCTCAAGCCAGAGGAAGAAGCTACTGTGTTAGATGCACTCACAGAATGTACATGTCAAGGATTCCCTTGGACCCATGAACGGCTTCGGGATATAGTCAACAACATTATCCATACTTGTGACCCATCATTTGAGGGTGTTGGTCATAACTGGACCAGGCAGTTCCTCCTTTGTAAACACAACATCCTGCAGACATCATGGATGCCAAAGCTAGAGACAGTTTGTGGACAGGCTGTCAATCCAACTACACATGCAGCGTGGATGGAGCTCTTAGGCAACACCATCCGGGAACACAACATCACTAAGAAACTCATCTACAGTTCTGACAAGGTAGGGTTTAACCCTGCACTGTCCGGGTGTGCATGTGCTATTGGCATTTGTGGAGCTGGTGGAGTCTATCAGCAGCAAGCTGGAAAGCGAGAAACAATCACAGCCATAGCCACCATATGTGCAGATGGAACATTGCTGCCTCCAGCTGTCATCTTTAAGGACAAGGATATCAGGTATCATGGAACAAGAACAACCCCCTGCACACATTGTAAGTCTCATGCTCAAGCCCCGCACAAAAACTCTAACCTTTACCTAGAATTGGCTACTCAAAGAAGGGGTGGATCAATGGTGAAGTAGGGAAGGCATGGATCCAGCAGTTTGATGAATTTACAAAAGAGAAAGCCAACAGACACGCAAGGCTTCTTCTTGTTGACGGACACAACTCACACTACACCGAGGGCTTCATTGCGCATGCTCGACAGACCAACATTCACGTCCTCTGCTACCCCACTCACTCAACTCATGTATACCAAGGGTTGAATGTTGTCGTCTTTGCTCAGCTTGAGAACACAACAACACACCGGGCAAGGTGACAAAGGATAACTTTCTCACCATCCTTGGTCGTGCATGGACACGAGCTCTCACAACAGCAACCATCCAGTCTGCATTCAGGGTGATGGGCTTCAACCCTAATGCAATCTCCAAAGATAAGCTAGCACCTAGTCGCGCAACTATAGCTTCAGCTACGATGCCAGTTAACCACCCAACACCTGTTTGACAGATTAGCCAGATCTTTCATCACTTGAAGTTCCCGGACTCACTGCAGACCAGACTTGATGACAAAGAAGACAAGGTGGATTTGGTCTTGAGTGTACAACAAGTTTATGAGGCGCTGAATCAGTCCAAATCAGCATCTTTCCTAGCAGGGACTGAGCCCATTCAGTCAACCTCTCACTTTCCAGAGTTCACTCTACCCTCTCTTAACACTGCTCCGACTGATGTCCTGCAAGGATTTGTTCCAGAAATAGCCAATGAAGGGGTCCTGGCTGACGCAATCTTGGCACTTCAGAACTGGATGAAGCAGGAGCAGCAAGGCTGAGAAGCCGAGCGTGCAATGATCATGATCCAGAGTTGGTATTGCGAGCGGGTGCGACAGCAGTTAGCTGAGAGGGAGAAGAAGGGAGTTAAGCAAATCCAGATAATGGGGGATGGTATGCCAAGGTTACTCACCGATGATGAGTTCTTTGCACTGGTTCAAGCCCATGGACTCCAAGTTGCGGCAGATGAAACAGCGAAGGAGCAGCAGTCAGAGGCACAGACAGCCTATGACGAGGCTGTAGCAGCATGGCAGGAGGAAAGTCGGAAGAGGGACCAGCACAATGAGCAGGTGCGAGCAGACTGGAATGCTAAAGTCACGAGGTATGAGTCCGAGAAGGCGGCAGCCAAGATGGAAAAGAGGAAGTGTTGCCACAGTTGCCAAATTGGGACTTGACTCCGATATTAGGGTTATTAACTGTTATTGTGTCTGTACAGACTGGCAGTGGTTAGGTCAAGATAGGTCAAAACCACTGATTCATGCATTGTGCATTCCAGACTCATTCCAATTGGTTGAAACTTTTTTACACCATATTTTATGTATCACAGAATCTCCAACCCAAATCTTGAGGGACCAGCTTCACACAAAAATATTTAAGAAAATCCAAGAATTTGGCTGTCTCTTCTCACGGGGGATAACAGTATGTCAAACATCTTTTTGTGTGCCTCCAAATTTAATGGAAGAGCAGGATGATTACTATCTCTACAATAAGGTTCAAACTCCAACCCAATGCCCATAGTGTACATGCATCACCTAATCCCACACAGAAACAAATTGCAAGCCGATGCTAGCATGACACGCGACACCACCCCTAACATGAACAGGCCGGCCAAGGCAAGAAGAAGAGCCTGAAGGTGGGTACATCTCGGCCGCTTCATTCCCATGCTAATTGTATTTGCCCATCCAGCAAAAGGTACCAAAGGTACTGCCACTTATATTTGTGGATGATGAGCCTGGAGATGCTCCAGTCGCCAGAGTGCCAGTAAGTTTTCTCTTACTATGACCACACTTTTCATTTAACTCCACCAGCCCAAGCCACCAAAACAGCCTCTCCCAGGCAGGAAGCGGAAGTTCTGGTCACCCGAGTATGCCGAGGTATGTTTAATTTAGATTTGCATGATTGTTTCTCACAAGCGAACTTCCATTTCATGCAGGACCCGGCTGAGGGTACCAACATTGAGACCCACACTGATGATGAGGATGCCAACTTGTCAGAGCCAGAAAAGCCAGATGAAAAGTGGGATGCCTTTGTTCAAAGATGTGCATTGCGCGCCAAGCGCATCAAGTGTAGTAATAACTAGATTATATCAAGTGCTGCATTCATCAGGAAAAAAACATATATTTTGTGGTTCTCCTTGACTCCTTCTTCCTGTGCAACATGTGACTAGTAGTGTTTGTTTTATACATGTATATTATTGCAATAGAGTGTGTTTGACAATATGGTCAACGCGCACTTGGACAAGTACCTGGCACCCAGA